AAAGAATAGAAACTGTCCTTAGTCTTCAGTGGAAACATCCTAATTCGTTCTTATTCCACTTTTGCATACCGTGGTGCCTTAGGTTTAGTGTCTGTTATGCTTGTGTGGGTGTGGGAGGGAGGGAGAGAGAGATGGTGTGTGCACGCCCGTCTGTGTGTGGTGTTCATCAGTGATCTATGTAGGGCTGACCCCATTTAGTCGACTGGTCGATTGTTTGGTCAATAGACTGTTGGTCGACCGATACTTTTTTTTGTCAAGCAATTGCCGGCAAACATTTTTATAGCACGTCTTGATTGACGCCTGTCTCAGTGGACTAATCCATTGGAGACCGCGGGGATGGCACACCAGTATCACCACTAGTACATTTACCGTTAATTACCATCATTTTTCAATGGTTGTTTGGTTACCGTAATTTCTATTAATGCATTCAATATATTATTATTACCGTTTTTTACAGTTCTCATTGTCGGAGTGGACACGTTGTTTGCAGAGCGCACAACCTAGGCTATACTTGTGAGAAACAAGTTTAGATTTATTTCATTCCATTTACGAGTTGTTAATTTATTAATTGTTTTGTTTGGAGTGCTCCTGTCAGTGTTGAGTAAGAACGCGCACCTGATTACACATAGAAGTAGGCCTAGGCTACCTGGCCTGCGCGCAAATATAGGCTTATGAATGTGCCCATTTGGGGATCTGATACTATTTCTGATTGTCTTAATTCACCACCGCTAATGAGCTGTAGAGCTTTCTCAAAATAACATTTTCCTTCACCTCAAACAGCAAGTAAACAAAGTCTGTTTTTACATCCATTGAGAATGACAATAGTTCCTGAATGTAGCCTATTTTTAAAATCTTTCCATCTCTCTCCCTTTCGATAACCACTGGTGGACCAAATTGATAGTTCATACAATGTTTCAAGTTCCTTGCAGACAGGCCATGCATAGACAATGGGATTTGTTTTTATCAGGAAATGTTCTACCTGCAGGCTGCAATGTTTTTATTTGTTGGCTTTATGTAGGCTATTTTTACATAATTGGCAATGGCAATAAAAGTTACTTTTAGATTTATATAATTTTCATGTAGATTTAGATATAATTTGAATGAATCACATGACAATGATTTTGAGATACGTAGACTTTATTATAAAATAAATTAAACTGTTCCACGAAAATGTGCATAAGAAAATCATAACTGGCACGCATATCTCAGGCTCCCTCCTTGAGTCATTTGTGTGTTTTAATTATTTAATCACCGTGCTTAAAGAAATCAGACAAGCTCATTAGCCTACATAATTGATTTTATTAAAACACATAGGGTGTGTCTATATATGGACAAAATGCACGTTTTAAAATTACGACCAGTCGATTGGTCGAAAGAACAGACGACTCTTGGTCAACCAAGATTTTTTTAAATCTGGGACACCCCTAGATCTATGGTCTGTCTGCTCTGGTATGTATACATTAACATAACAGGGTTGGTATACAGTAACATAACAGGGTTGGTAGGAAGTAACAGGGTTGGTAGGCAGTAACATAACAGGGTTGGTAGGCAGTAACATAACAGGGTTGGTAGGAAGTAACAGGGTTGGTAGGCAGTAACATAACAGGGTTGGTAGGCAGTAACATAACAGGGTTGGTAGGCAGTAACATAACAGGGTTGGTAGGCAGTAACATAACAGGGTTGGTAGGCAGTAACATAACAGGGTTGGTAGGCAGTAACATAACAGGGTTGGTAGGCAGTAACATAACAGGGTTGGTAGGCAGTAACATAACCAGTGGCGTGTATTCATGGATGCCAAGTGAAGCCAGGCTTCCCCAAATATTTGACCAATAAAAAATACAAATAAAAGAGGTATAACATGTTGAGCTGAGCTGTCCTGGTGCAGCAAAATGCCCCCCAAGGGAGGCCAGTTTGGATTTGGCTTCAGACCAATCAAATCACTTCCTAAGCAAAACGTCATTTTCAGAAAAACTTTTCTGGTCTGCTTGTGTTGATGTCCTGCAGTAGCTAGCTTGCTAAATCGGCCCTTTCCTAAGCAATGGATGGAGATGGGGATTTGGACTTGTGGTTTTGACTTAATTCTCTTTACAGGCCAATGATTATGATCTAACCATAAATTAATATGTTGTGCCTCGGGCCTGAGACGATTGAAGTTCAATATGTAGCCTAGTAAGCTCACATTAACTAACGTTAGCTAGCTAGCTAACTTACCTGATTCATTGTTGCCCATGCAAAGAAGTCAGGCTAGCAAGCTTTTTAGCTAGGTAGCCTATGATAACAAAAACTAAAAGTGTACTGTATGACAGAGCCATAGACCGTTTTGCCAACATGAAAGAGAGGAGGATGGCATTGGCATTTTTGAGTATTTTTTTGTTTGTTTTACTTGTGTGCGCACACAGACAGACAGACAGACAGACAGACAGACAGACAGACAGACAGACAGACAGACAGACAGACAGACAGACAGACAGACAGACAGACAGACAGACAGACAGACAGACAGACAGACAGACAGACAGACAGACAGACAGACAGACAGACAGACAGACAGACATCAGTACCATGGACAGCCACATGATATTTAGCAACATTGATTGGACTAAATTGTTTCTTTATGTTTGTTTTCAGTGTGTTAAAGTAAGTATACAGTGCATTCGGAAAGTATTCAGACCACTTGACTGTTTAAACATTTTGTTACTTTACAGCCTTATTCTAAAATTTATTAAATTCATTTTTTCCCTAATCAATCTACACACAATATCCCATAATGACAAAGCGAAAACAGGTTTGTTGAAATTTTTGCAAATGTATAAAATAAAATAAACTGAAATCTTATTTACATAAGTATTCTGACCCTTTGATATGAGACTCGAAATTGAGCTCAGGTGCATCCTGTTTCCATTGAGCATCCTTGAGATGTTTCTACAACTTGATTGGAGTCCACCTGTGGTAAATTCAATTGATTGGACATGATTTGGAAAGGCACACATCGGTCTATATAAGGTCCCACAGTTGACAGTGCATGTCAGAACAAAAACCAAACCATGAGGTCGAAGGAATTGTCTGTAGAGCTCAGAGACAGGATTGTGTTGAGGCACAGATCTGGGGAAGGGTACCAAAACATTTCTGCAGCATTGAAGGTTCCCAAGAACACAGTGGCCTCCAAAATTCTTAAATGGAAGAAGTTTGTAACCACCAAGACTCTTCCTAGAGCTGGCCGCCCGGCCAAACTGAGCAATCGGGGGAGAAGGGCCTTGGTCAGGGAGGTGACCAAGAACCCAACGGTCACTCTGACAGAGCTCCAGAGTTCCTCTGTGGAGATGGGAGAACCTTCCAGAAGGACAACCATCTCTGCAGCACTCCACCAATCAGGCCTCTATGGTAGGGTGGCCAGACAGAAGCCACTCCTCAGTAAAAGCCCGCTTGGAGTTTGCCAAAAGGCACCTAAAGAACTCTCAGGCCATGAGAAATAAGATTCTCTGGTCTGATGAAACCAAGATTGAACTCTTTGGCCTGAATGCCAAGCGTCACGTCTGGAGGAAACCTGGCATCATCCCTACGGTGAAGCATGATGGTGGCAGCATCATGCTGTGGGGATGTTTTTCAGCGGCAGGGACTGGGATACTAGTCAGGATCGAGGGAAGGATTAATGGAGCAAAGTACAGAGAGATCCTTGATGAAAACATGCACCAGAGCACTCAGGACCTCAGACTGGGGCAAAGGTTCACCTTCCAACAGGACAACAACCCTAAGCACACAGACAACGCAGGAGTGGCTTCGGGACAAGTCTCTGAATGTCATTGAGTGGCCCAGCCAGAGCCCGGACTTGAACCCGATCTAACATCTCTGGAGAGACCTGAAAATAGCTGTGCAGCGATGCTCCCCATCCAACCTGACCGAGCTTGAGAGGATCTGTAGAGAAAAATGGGAGAAACTCCCAAAATACAGGTGTGCTTGTAGTGTCATACCCAAGAAGACTAGAGTCTGTAATCGCTGCCAAAGGTGCTTCAACAGAATACTGAGTAAAGGGTCTGAATACTTTTGTAAATGTCATATTTCTGTTTATTATTTGTAATAAATTTGCAAACATTTCTAAAAACCAGTTTTTGCTTTGTCATTATGGGGTATTGTGTGTAGATTGATGGGAAAAATGTAATACATTTTAGAATAAGGCTGTAGCATAACAAAATGTGGAAAAAGTCAAGGGGTCTGAATACTTTCCGAATACTTGTTGATTTTATATGTTTAAGTTGAAATGGTGCTGGAATAGCGGAGGCAGTGCTCCTGTTGTCTTTGTGCTGACTTGTGGTAACTCCGTGGTTCTAAATTAGTAGTTGTTTAGTAAACTGTTGAAAACATTAACTTGCTTGTTACATGCAATATTTGCTTTGTGGACTTCACCGGACAGATGTTGTGTTTTGTGGTGAAACAAACGTATGTGTAGTTGAATTTATTCCGACACTGTGTGACTGTTGTCTTTTTGTTGTCACGGCCTTATTGTATATCACGGTGGCATATGAACGAATGTGTTATAGAGCAAACAACGCAATTATCACACCATAGGTTGTAAAATTGCTTTTTTACTGGCTTGGCTTCCTCTCTGATTTTACCCACGCACCGCTACTGAACATAACAGGGTTGGTAGACAGTGTACAGCGTGTTACAGCAGGTTACTAGCTTTCTGCTTCTCCTCCTCACAGGAATCTGCTCACCTGGGCGCCATGACCACACAATCCCGGACAAACACACACTCTGATTCACACTTACAATCACAGTCACATGGAAGGCATGGAAAGGTTGATATCAGTCCATTCATTGTTACAGTATGTTGAACCATAAATCCACATTAGTCCAGGAGGAGGAGGTGCTGCTGGGGACTCTTTTTCTTTCTACTTTACCACTTCCTTTTCTGCTTTGATTATGTCTGATTTATTTTCTCAACCTGTCATAACACTGTCCTTTCATTCCTGGTTTCCTTTCCTACTTTCCAACAATCGCAGAGTTCAGACCAGGTCGCCTTGACCAATGCCACCATATTGGATGGCAGCATGGGCAGGCCCGACGGTTCCCTGGCCGACTCATTGGGCTCTGTGGCTGTCTGTCTTCCTCCTTCTGAGACCACTTCTCTTCTAACTGATTCTCTCCTCCACACCTCAGCAGTGGTGAGCTCACAGACACAGGCAGACATAGTCAGACGGGCAGACAGAGACGGGCAGACAGACAGGGAGATAACAGGGAGATATGTTTCAATAATAAGGAGTCATTTTAAAGTGGATGCCCGTCAGACAATAACATTGTTGGTGACTCATGGACCATTTACCTTGTCATACCAGTAATCACAAAGCATCAAAACTGTGGACCATAGTGAAAGATTTCCTCCTGCTTTGGTGATTGTTGACTACTTTCTAGTCTGCTTATTCTATTATCCTGACTCTGATTGTAGATGTGGGTCTAAATGAACCCATATAACTTTTGACTCTGTTTCTGCCTATTCACCATCATGTGTAACAGACACACATTATACTGAAATACTGTACACTCATTAAACACTAATCATGTACACCAGTGCCACCTAGTGGCCAATTATTGACACTTCCAACCAGTAAAAACCATACAACTCAATGTAGAAGTGCTTTTCCATACCTCACCGCAGCCCTGAGTTTTCTGTCCCAATAGATGCTGTCCCCACAGTATGTTCTAGGCTAAATTATTCCGAGGCCGTCCCTCTCAACCATGGTGTCCCTCTTCTCTTCCCGTAGAGCGTGGACGAGGGTGGCGAAGGCGAGTATGTCAACCTGTACTCATCCAGCCAGGCCAATGGGGAGCTGGAGCTGCCTCCCTGCCTCAGAGTAAGTAACTAATGCACTCAACCTAGTAGGATTGTCACGATACACCATGGCAAAAAAATGAAAGCACGAAGCAGACTAAACTCGTTGCTCCTTTATGCCAAACATTGTGTGCTAAAGCTTGGGAAAAATAAACACATGACTACATAAGGCAGTTTAGGACTGTTTTCCTTAAGAAATTACAGCTCTAGGATCAGATTATTGGAACAATATTAACTGTAATCATTAGGGGGAAGAGCAAATATCTGATCCTGTATCAGTGGTTAATGACAACTTCTACCTATTACATTAGGGGTAGCTAACTCCATTTCAACTCTGATGGAGACAGCCTTTGTGTAAATGATGTGTTGGTGTTCCATGATTCCTGCTCCTCAACCTACCTTGACAGAGCTTACTCTGCCCCACACAGCCAATCGCTGCTGACGATGTCATTCAAGACCCCGCCCCACAGATGCCCTCCTCCAATAGCAAGGAGGCTCTGGACAAGGACAGGTATGGGATAAAGTGACCGCTCAGGTCACATTGCATAAACAGTCCCTCTCCCCTTCAGGCGTAATGTTTTTACTTGATCCGGTGATCCTAGAAGGTAAAACGCCAATTAAATGAAATGGATACTGATTAATGACAAATGCTAGGTATATGTAAGCATAGACATAGAATTACTAGACGAGACAAAGCCCCTTCAGACCAGTGACATTTGAATGGAACACTTATCATGGGTAACAATTCTATTCTAGGTAATAATTTAATGTCTATGTATGTAAGTTGAGGTAAACTGACCTAACGGTGCTTCCATCTGTCTGTCTTTCTGTCAGCAGGAGGCAGAAGTCGACAGACTCAGTCCAGAGCGATGAGGAGGAAGTGGATGAGCTCTCTCTCATCGACCACAAAGAGATCATGTCCCGGATAACACTCAAACAGGAGGTAATGCTGCCCTCATTCATGACTGCACTAACATTATTACCCATGTCTATTGGCTAAGTGAGCATTGTCTCTAGAAAACTGTGTGGTTGTCTTTGGCTACAATTTCTTTAAATGCTATTCTGTTCATGTTACATACTGTATGTGAGACTCTGACATAAGAAACCTTCACACTGGTGGTATTGACATTTCACTCACATTTCTTCGACTTACTCTCAGTCCACTACTGACCTCTAGAGGAACTGCAGGGCATGTTTCCTCATTATAATTCCCTTTCCTTTTTTAGGTTTGGTGCAGTCTGACAGACAGGTGTGTGTGTGTGTGTTTGTGTGTGTGTGTGTGTGTGTGTGTGTGTGTGTGTGTGTGTGTGTGTGTGCTGATCCCGGTCCCCACTCTGCAAGGTCAGAGGCAGAGAGAGAGAGGGAGAGAGAAAGGGATAAAGAGAGAGGGAGGTCTGGTTAATCAACAAAGGACAACTGTAGCGGTAAACCAGAGTATTATTGTTAGGATCTGTCTGCTTGTGTGATTAGTCTGTGTCCTGCGTACGCCAGCCCTCTCCCTCGCTCTCTCCCCCTACACTCTCATTCTCTCTCTCTCGTCAGTGGAGCTGGTGCTGGGGAGGGAGAGCATGGACAGAGAGGAGAGAGCTTCATTTTGGGCGAGACTGCATCTGCCGTAATCCTCATAAAGGGGCCCCCTAGACCCTCTGCCGGGCTAAGCCCGGAGGGTCTCTGGGGCCGAGAGAGGGTGGCGCGCCGAGAGGGAGCGATAAATTCTCGCCGGAGAACGCGCGGATGCTCTGGGGTCTCGAGCCCTATCTCTCTCTTTCTCGAGAGAGAGCGAGGAGACGAAGTTGAGAGAGAAAAAGGAGAGAAGAGAGAAAGGGGCGAGCGAGTAGAGAGAGAGAGAGAGAGAGAGAGCGAGAGAGGATAAACGAAAGAAAAACACGCGAGAGCGAGAGAGAGAGGAGAAGAGAGAGAGAGAGAGAGAGCGCGACGTAGCGAAGAGATAGCAAGAAACAAGATAGAAAGAAAAAACAGCGAGAGAGGATAAGCGAGAGAGAGAAGAGAGAGATCTCGCGATATAGTATAAGATATCGCTCTCTCTCTCATCTCTCTCTCTCTCTTCTCCTTCTCTCTCTCTCTCTCTCTTTTTCTATCTCTCTCTCTCTCTCTCTGTCTCTCTATCTTGTACTGCCTCGACCCCCCCCTCTATCCCTCTATCTTCCTCGCCCCCCTCTCTCTCTCCCTTTTCCTTTCTCTATCTGCCTCACCCCTCTCTATCGATCTGCCTTGCCTCCCTCCTGTCTCTCTCTCTCTCTCTTTCTCTCTGCTCTCTTTTTCTCCATCTCTCTCATTCTCCCCCTCTCTCTCAGAATGACGATGGTCCTGATGTGCGTGCTGGATCAGGGGATATTCTGTTAGTCCACGCCACAGAGACAGACCGCAAAGGTAGGTAGCATTTATCACCGTTCGACAGCAGCCCCTATTAGAATGTGTGTTACTGTGGTTCTGGGTCAGTGGCACAGTGTGTGTGTGTGTGTGTGTGTCATAGATCTAGTTCAAACCAGAGGGATCTGATCACAATTTTTGTCTTGTTAAATTGGTCTACAGTGACATGTGAACAGTTGTAGAATAGCTGCAGTATATCTTGACATAGATAGAACATTCTTGTTTTTCCAGCTTATTTCTCTGTATATCAGAGGTTACCAGACGTGTTCCATCCTATTCATGTCATCCATGCTCTCTAAAGTTGAGAGGATCCATCGTTAGTTGTCAACCTCAGATGATTTGTGGTGGACTTAAAGGGGTGGACTTAAATGGGCGGACTTAAAGGGGTGGACTTCTCCTCTGCTCCCCTACAGATCTGGTGTTGTACTGTGAGGTCTTCCTGACCACATACAGGACCTTCATCAGCCCAGAGGACCTAATTAAGAAGCTGCACTACAGATATCCTTTTTTGGTTGCCTCGAGTGTCTCAACACCAGCTAGATACTGTGTGTTGGAATACTAACAACTCAATGGATATGGCTTGTGGTGATGAGATAAATACAGAAAAGGTGTGTAGGTAAACGTGATTGTCCCAACCATGTTGACACCTAAAGTGACTGCTGTGAGAGTAGAAAAAATATTCATTATTTTGTGAATATGGGATCTAATACTTGAGAGTGCAGGTCATTTCAGTATTCTCCTTGACCACGGACCACATACACCAGGTTCTGTCACAGTCCAGACACGTTTAAGAAGCGGGTCAGCAAGAACACCTTCTTTGTGCTCGTTAGAGTGGTGGACGAACTGTGGTGAGTATGGATGGACATATTCTATACAGTACCTAACTCAGACTCTCTGTAGAGCCACAGAGGTGGCTTTTTACTGTTAAAGCTCCACTCTCTCTGGAGATGGGACCCAAGGGTCTTCCACAATCTTTCTAGGCAGTAGATAGCCCTGGGGATCCAACATATCAGAAATGACTTCCAAAGAGTGTGTTTGAAGCAGACAACCCTCAATGGTAACTTACCTTTCAGTGTTAAGTGAATTAACTTCTCCTTCCTTTACTGTTCTCCTCTCCCCCCTCTCCATCAGTCTGGTGGAGTTAACAGAGGACATCCTGAAGCAGCTGATGGACCTGGTGTTCAGGCTGGTGTGTAACGGCGAGCTGAGCCTGGCCCGCGTGCTCCGCAAGAACATCCTGGACAAGGTCTGTCCACCAACACCACCACCTTCACCTCCCTCAACACCTTCACCTCCCTCAACACCTTCACCTACCTCAACACCTTCACCTCCCTCAACAGCTTCACCTCCCTCAACAGCTTCACCTCCCTCAACAGCTTCACCTCCCTCAACACCTTCACCTACCTCAACACCTTCACCTACCTCAACACCTTCACCTACCTCAACACCTTCACCTACCTCAACACCTTCACCTACCTCAACACCTTCACCTACCTCAACACCTTCACCTCAACACCTTCACCTACCTCAACACCTTCACCTCAACACCTATCCCCCTTTAACATCTTCACACTGTGTTACACTTAATAAAAGTGCTATGGTGTATAGATCAAATCTATTGGTATTGTCAGTTAGAATATTCAGGACAGGGTCTCATTCTGCAGTAGCTTGTGATTAGGAGGCATTTTGAATGTTATGTCTGTAAATGAATTGTTGTTATTGTTTTGAAGGTGGAGCAGAAGAAGCTGCTGCGCTGCACCAACTCCCTCAAGCCGCTGGCTGCCCGGGGCGTGTCCGCAAGGTAGGGGTCAACCAGGGGTTAAGGGTCAGGGGTCAGGAGAGAATGGAAGGGGCTATGACAACCTCTTCTTGCGTTTGCTTGTACAATCGATGTTTGCTTTCTGTCATTAAGCTTTTTTGTGTGTGTGACCACAGGCCCGGAACGCTGCATGACTTCCGCAGCCATGAAATCGCCGATCAGCTCACGCTTCTGGATGCAGAACTTTTCTACAAAATCGAGGTACCAGAGAGCCCTTTACTATCCTTGTTTTGCTTCCAATTCACTGCAGAGAAATTGACATTCTGCTCCAGTGATCTAATCCTATATATCTCCCTCTTTCTCTCCTTAGATTCCTGAGGTGTTGCTTTGGGCCAAGGAACAGAACGAGGAGAAGAGTCCCAATCTGACTCAGTTCACAGAGCACTTTAACAACATGAGCTACTGGTGAGAGCTGGACCTGAGCCTATGCTTACAGCCTGTCTATGCATGACATACCTCCCACCAGATGGACCTAATCACTCCCAAGTCACCTAGCTTTGCAATGACCGGTCAACACCTCACAATGGCCAAAACAAAAACACACACACACAGTCTCGCTTTCTCTCTCACACAACACTGTTTGTGTTTGTCCTCTAGGGTGCGGTCTCTAATCATTCAGCAGGAGAAAGGCCAGGACCGAGAGAAGCTGCTCCTCAAGTTCATTAAGATCATGAAGGTGACCGACCTCAACGTTCATACAATCACAGCTCTTCCTCTTAACTAAATATAATTTCCTGTTAACTAAATATAACTTACTATATCTAGTTAATGACTAACTCTCTGGACAACTGTTCTTATCCTATTTCTCCTCTTTTTATGTAGCACTTAAGAAAGTTGAACAATTTCAACTCGTACTTGGCAATACTGTCTGCCCTGGACTCGGCCCCCATCCGCAGACTGGAGTGGCAGAAACAGACCTCAGAGGTGAGTCAAACAGTAGTGGATTAAGTCTGACATAGAGATACAGTGGGGGAAAAAAGTATTTAGTCAGCCACCAATTGTGCAAGTTCTCCCACTTAAAAAGATGAGAGAGGCCTGTAATTTTCATCATAGGTACACGTCAACTATGACAGACAAAATGAGATTTTTTTTCTCCAGAAAATCACATTGTAGGGTTTTAATGAATTTATTTGCAAATTATGGTGGAAAATAAGTATTTGGTCAATAACAAAAGTTTCTCAATACTTTGTTATATACCCTTTGTTGGCAATGACACAGGTCAAACGTTTTCTGTAAGTCTTCACAAGGTTTTCACACACTGTTGCTGGTATTTTGGCCCATTCCTCCATGCAGATCTCCTCTAGAGCAGTGATGTTTTGTGGCTGTCGCTGGGCAACACGGACTTTCAACTCCCTCCAAAGATTTTCTATGGGGTTGAGATCTGGAGACTGGCTAGGCCACTCCAGGACCTTGAAATGCTTCTTACGAAGCCACTCCTTCATTGCCTGGGCGGTGTGTTTGGGATCATTGTCATGCTGAAAGACCCAGCCACGTTTCATCTTCAATGCCCTTGCTGATGGAAGGAGGTTTTCACTCAAAATCTCACGATACATGGCCCCATTCATTCTTTCCTTTACACGGATCAGTTGTCCTGGTCCCTTTGCAGAAAAACAGCCCCAAAACATGATGTTTCCACCCCCATGCTTCACAATAGGTATGGTGTTCTTTGGATGCAACTCAGCATTCTTTGTCCTCCAAACACGACGAGTTGAGTTTTTACCAAAAAGTTATATTTTGGTTTCATCTGACCATATGACATTCTCCCAATCCTCTTCTGGATCATCCAAATGCACTCTAGCAAACTTCAGACGGGCCTGGACATGTACTGGCTTAAGCAGGGGGACACGTCTGGCACTGCAGGATTTGAGTCCCTGGCGGCGTAGTGTGTTACTGATGGTAGGCTTTGTTACTTTGGTCCCAACTCTCTGCAGGTCATTCACTAGGTCCCCCTGTGTGGTTCTTGGATTTTTGCTCACCGTTCTTGTGATCATTTTGACCCCACGGGGTGAGATCTTGCGTGGAGCCCCAGATCGAGGGAGATTATCAGTGGTCTTGTATGTCTTCCATTTCCTAATAATTGCTCCCACAGTTGATTTCTTCAAACCAAGCTGCTTACCTATTGCAGATTCAGTCTTCCCAGCCTGGTGCAGGTCTACAATTTTGTTTCTGGTGTCCTTTGACAGCTCTTTGGTCTTGGCCATAGTGGAGTTTGGAGTGTGACTGTTTGAGGTTGTGGACAGGTGTCTTTTATACTGATAACAAGTTCAAACAGGTGCCATTAATACAGGTAACGAGTGGAGGACAGATGAGCCTCTTAAAGAAGAAGTTACAGGTCTGTGAGAGCCAGAAATCTTGCTTGTTTGTAGGTGACCAAATACTTATTTTCCAACATAATTTGCAAATAAATTCATAAAAAATCCTACAATGTGTTTTTCTGGAGAAAAAAAATGTCAATTTGTCTGTCATAGTTGACGTGTACCTATGATGAAAATTACAGGCCTCTCTCATCTTTTTAAGTGGGAGAACTTGCACAATTGGTGGCTGACTAAATACTTTTTTCCCCCACTGTATGTGATATAGCTATACTAGATATCCATACTCAAGTGTTTGAATTGTATTTCTATGGTGTCTCTTTAAGATACTCGGGTATCGGGGTGTGCTGTGGGTATAACGCATTGTAACACACACTGTTGGTCTCTCCCAGGGATTGGAGGAATACTGCACTTTGATTGACAGCTCGTCGTCTTTCCGAGCGTACCGGGCGGCTCTGGCCGACGTGGAGCCTCCATGCATCCCATACCTGTAAGTCTGTGTACATACATGTGCAACTGAGCCGGGTAATGTTCAATGAAATGGTGTGTTTTTGTGTACTCGTCATAGGACTGTCCTTTATCTCTCTGTTTCTCTCCTCTTCCTCCTCTCTTCTCCCAGCGGTCTGATCCTGCAGGACCTGACCTTCGTCCACCTGGGGAACCCTGATCTCATCGATGGGAAGGTCAACTTCTCTAAGCGCTGGCAGCAGTTCAACATCCTGGACAGCATGAGGCGCTTCCAGCAAGTGTGAGTAGAAAGGTCATCCCAGGAGAAAAGCATCCACAAACCTATAGCGAGCATGGTATGAATATGGTCTATTTCAGGGATGGGCAACTGGCGGCGGGCCCCCCTTTTGTAGGCCTGCGGAGCCACTGCGGCTCCTCATGAGTTCCAATTTTTTTGTGGCTCCCACCCCCATCAGTTGCCCATCCTTGGTCTATTTCATGTCATTCAATAAGACTACAATAATCATCCCATGTGAGGTAAGCAGTGAACCAAATCTTATATGAAAACCTTCATATTAACCCCCATACAACAGAAGGTGCACCATTTCCAGCATTCATATTTGTATCGCTTATCCATCGGCAACTCGTTCTGTCTGTCTTTCCGACTCTCCAAAGGCATTATGAGCTGAAGCGCAACGACGACATTGTGTGCTTCTTCAACGACTTCAGCGACCACCTGGCCGAGGAGGCGCTGTGGGAGCTCTCGCTAAAGATCAAGCCTCGAAACATCACCCGGAGACGGACAGAGCGCGAGGAGAAGACCTAGTGGTGCCGAAACCCGGGACCAGGGGCCCGCCGAGGGATCTCCACTGTGCTACAGACACTAACTCCACTTTACGACGGACGGACGGGAAGGATAGATGGACGGACACAATCAGCTGGATCTAACTAACATGGGAAGAGAGACTGACTAGGGCTGGACCAGAGCACATACAGTAGGCTAGTAGGGAGGAAAAGACTGCCATGGTTTAGTGACTCTGCACTGCTCTGCTACACTGGGATATTATGGGGGGTTTTATGATTGGGATTACATGGGATTCTCTCCACCCAGAACTGGTGTTGGCAGGGGAGAAACTCCTAACCAATGGGAGGAGAGAGGAGAAATACGTTTTAAGAGACTTCATGTAAGGAGAGGATGTGGAGAAACCTCTCCCATTTTAGTGTGTGTCTGTGAGTGTGAGGTGAAAGCTCCTCTACACCCTCAGATACCAACCTTATTCCCTTCTCTTCCCCCTTACAGTGAGGGAAAAAAGTATTTGATCCCCTGCTGATTTTGTACGTTTGCCCACTGACATAGACATGATCAGCCTATAATTTTAATGGTAGGTTTATTTGAACAGTGAGAGACAGAATAACAAAAAAAAATCCAGAAAAACGTATGTCAAAAATGTTATGAATTGATTTGCATTTTAATGAGGGAAATAAGTATTTGACCCCTCTGCAAAACATGGCTTAGTGCTTGGTGGCAAAACCCTTGTTGGCAAACACAGAGGTCAGACATTTCTTGTAGTTGGCAACCAGGTTTGCACACATCTCAGGAGGGATTTTGTCCCACTCCTCTTTGCAGATCTTCTAAGGTTTCGAGCCTGACGTTTGGCAACTCGAACCTTCAGCTCCCTCCACAGATTTCCTATGGGATTAAGGTCTGGAGACTGGCTAAGCCACTCCAGGACCTTAATGTGCTTCTTCTTGAGCCACTCCTTTGTTGCCTTGGCCGTGTGTTTTGGGTCATTGTCATGCTGGAATACCCATCCACAACACATTTTCAATGCCCTGGCTGAGGGAAGGAGGTTCTCACCCAAGATTTGACGGTACATGGCCCCGTCCATCGTCCCTTTGATGCCGTGAAGTTGTCCTGTCACCTTAGCAGAAAAACACCCCCAAAGCATAATGTTTCCACCTCCATGTTTGACGGTGGGGATGGTGTTCTTGGGGTCATAGGCAGCATTCCTCCTCCTCCAAACACGGCGAGTTGAGTTGATGACAAAGAGCTCGATTTTGGTCTCATCTGATCACAACACTTTCACCCAGTTCTCCTCTGAGTCATTCAGATGTTCATTGGCAAACTTCAGACGGGCCTGTATATGTGCTTTCTTGAGCAGGGGGACCTTGCGGGCGCTGCAGGATTTCAGTCCTTCACGGCGTAGTGTGTTACCAATTGTTTTCTTGGTGACTATGGTCCCAGCTGCCTTGAGATCATTGTCAAGATCCTCCCGTGTTGTTATGGGCTGATTCCTCACCGTTCTCATGATCATTGCAACTCCACGAGGTGAGATCTTGCATGAAGCCCCAGGCCGAGGGAGATTGACAGTTATTTTGTGTTTCTTCCATTTGCAAATAATCGCACCAACTGTTGTCACCTTCTCACCAAGCTGCTTGGCGATGGTCTTGTAGCCCATTCCAGCATTGTGTAGGTCTACAATCTTGTCCCTGACATCCTTGGAGAGCTCTTTGGTCTTGGCCATGGTGGAGAGTTTGGAATCTGATTGATTGATTGCTTCTGTGGACAGGTATCTTTTATACAGGTAACAAGCTGAGATTAGGAGCACTCCCTTTTAAGAGTGTGCTCCTAATTTCAGCTCGTTACGTGTATAAAAGACACCTGGGAGCCAGAAATCTTTCTGATTGAGAGGGGGTCAAATACTTATTTCCCTCATTAAAATGCAAATCAATTTATAAAATGTTTGACATAAGTTTTTCTGGATTTTTGTTTTGTTATTCTGTCTCTCACTGTTCAAATAAACCTACCATTAAAATTATAGACTGATCATGTCTTTGTCAGTGGGCAAACTTACAAAATCAGCAGGGGATCAAATACTTTTTTCCCTCACTGTACATAGTGTGTGTCTGTGAGTGTGAGGTGAAAGCTCCTCTATACCCTCAGATACCAACACCTTATTCCCTTCTCTTCCCCCTAACATAGTGTGTGCCATCATTGGGTCAGCCCCTACTGCCCCCCTCCCCTGACTTAACTTCCCTCCCTCAAACATGGAAGGAAGAGAAACTTCCTTGTATCCATGGAATCCTCCTCAGTATTCCGGACTGTAGTCTAGGGAATTGGAATCTGAGGGTTAGTAGAGGTGGACTGGACTTGTACCAAGAGTGTAATTGGAATATTGTGTATTAATATTATTATTATTAATCATGTATGGTTATGATGTATTATATACAGTGCTCCTTTTGTTTTTAAAAAGGATGTTTATTATGCTATTAAGAGAAGCGCTCAGCTTCTACCCAAGTGCCATACAAATGTGCACTCAAAAAAGCAGAACAACAAAAAAAGACACAAAAAGAGAATGACTAAAGATGCTGTGAAATATGTACGTCATATTCAATCATTGTGTGCCATGTTTGAGTGAGAGAACTGCCAGGCAATCAGACGTGTGTCCCAGTAGTTCTTCATTCTGATTCCTTTGGAATAATCCTGTCATCCTCATCACACTATGCAATAAAACTGCTCACTTTCTATAAGTCAAGGCATCGCTGTGTAGCACCATCTTAAGAGGTTTGTCAGACTATGCTGCTTATATGTTCCTTATGGGCAAAATCCCAACAAGATCGGCGCTCCTAACTTTGACTTTTGCATTATCATGCATTGATGTCAATGGGAGTCTTGTTGCGCTCGCAAGTTAGGATTCAGGTTAGACAATAACAACCACAAGCCACTGATCGTGAACATAATATTTTTTATCTTTCTTAAATATCATGGTCATTACAAAATAAAGTCAAGTTAAGGCATGAATTTACATTGGCATCAAGGAATGACCAAGCAAATATTTAACATGAAGCAAAGTGTAAAGAATACTTAAAATGTGATACATATTGTATGAAATCCTTCATTTGTCTATAATTGTCCATACATAATATATTATCATCTTATTTCTACATGTTCTGAATCCAATAGAACACATTTCAAGCGTCTTGATACATGTTGCGTTTATATTTTTGTTCAGTATAAAACAAAGACAGTGAATCATGGTAGTACATGAAGTCCACTACATTACTCATTATTCATTGTTGGCTGTGAAAGCCCAACAGGTAAAGCCAAAATCAAAACAGACATTTAAATAACTTCAAAATAACATTAAAATAACAGCTTTCCTTCCTTCATCTCACCCCTATTTCAGCCACAGAGGTAGTCAAACCACCGCAGGGTGCAAAGTAATTAAAAAAGGGAAGAGTTGTGTGGTGTACCTATGATTGCTCTAACTGTTTCAGTGACATACTAATGAATCATTACTGATGTGTCTTACACTCATTTTCCTCCAGACTTCCCTATCTGACTGGATGCTCTGCAGTCTGCAGGTGACAAGGGCGAGTTACAAGGGCAGGCTAGTCTTCCCATCTCTCCCCCACCCCAGAACATGTCAGTAACAGCATCAACGCTCAAATCCAACATACCATATACACATATTTATTAATATATATATATATATATACACACACATATCACACACACACATGTTAATATATACACATAACACATACATATATATTAATATACACACACATACATACAGTTCCTTCAGAAAGTATTCACACCCCTTGACTTTTTCCACATTTTGTTGTTAAAGCACGTGTCAAACTCATTCCATTGAGGGCTGAGTGTCTGCAGGTTTTCACTCCTCCCTTGTACTTGATTTATTAATTAAGGTCACTGATTAGTAAGGAACTCCCCTCACCTGGTTGTCTAGGTCTTTAACTGAAAGGAAAAACAAAAAAACAGCAGACGCTAGGCCCTCCATGGAATGAGTTTGACACCCGTGTTACAGCCGGAATTTAAAATGTCACTGGCCTACACACAATACCCCATAATGTCAAAGTTGATTTTTTTTATGTCACCTGTTCAATCCAAGTATTCATCCCCTTTGTAATGGCAAGCCTAAATAAGTTCAGGAGTAGAAATTTGCTTAACAAGTCACATAAGTTGCATGGACTCACTGTGTGCAATAAGTGTTTAGTATGATTTTTTTTATGACTGCCTCATCTCTGTACCCCATTATCTGTAAGGTCCCTCAGTCGAGCAGTGAATTTCCAACACGGATCCAATCAAAGACCAACGATGTTTTCCAATGCCTTGAAAAGGAGGGCACCTATTGATAGATGGGTAAAAATGTAAAAAGCAGACATTGAATATCCCTTTGAGCATTGTAAAGTTATTAATGACACTTTGGATGGTGTATCAATACACCCAGTCACTACAAAGATACAGGCATACTTCCTAACTCAGTTGCCGGAGAGGAAGGACACCGCTCAGGGATTTCACCATGAGGCCAATTGTGACTTTAAAACAGTTAGTTTAATGGCTGTGATAGCAGAAAACTGAGGATGGATCAACATTGTAATTAATAATAATACTAATAATTAGTCATTTAGCAGACGCTCTTATCCAGAGCGACTTACAGGAGCAATTAGGGTTAAGATACTAACCTAATTGACAGAGTGAATAGAAGGAAACCTGTGCAGAATATAAATATTCCAAAACATGCATCCTGTTTGCAATCGGGCACGAAAGTAAAACTGCTAAAAATGTGGCAAAGAAATTAACTTTATGTCCTGAATACAAAGCATTATGTTTGGGGTAAATCCAACACAACGCATCACTCAGTCCCACTCTTCATACACTGAACAAAAATATAAACGCAACATGTGAAGTGTTGATCCCATGTTTCCATGAGCTTAAATAAAAAAATCCCAGAAATGTCCCATACACGCACAAAAATCATATTTCTCTCAAATGTGGTGCACAAATTTGTTTACATCCCTGTTAGTGAGCATTTCGACTTTGCCAAGATAATCCATCCACCTGACAGGTGTGGCATATCAAGAAGCTGATTAAACAGCATAATCATTACACAGGTGCACCTTGTGCTGGGGACAATAAAAGGCCACTCTAAAATGTGCAGTTTTGTTACACAACACAATGCCACTGATGTCTCAAGTTTTGAGGGAGTGTGCAATTGGCATGCTGACTGCAGGAATGTCCAACAGAGCTGTTGCCAGAGAATGTAATGTTCATATCTCTACCATAAGCCGCCTCCAACGTCATTTTAGAGAATTTGGCAGTAAGTCCAACCAGCCTCACAACCGCAGACCACGTGTATGGCGTCATGTGGGTGAGCGGTTTGCTGATGTCAACGTTGTGAACAGAGTGCCCCATGGTGGCAGTGTGGTTATGGTATGGGCAGGCATAAGCTACAGACAACAAACACAATTGCATTTGATCAATGGCAATTTGAATGCACAGAGATCCCGTGACGAGATCCTGAGGCCCATTGTCGTGCCATTCATCCGCCACCATCACCTCATGTTTCAGCATGATAATGCACGGCCCCATGTCGCAAGGATCTGTACACAATTCCTGGAAGCTGAAAATGTCTGCACACTCAGACATGACACCCATTGAGCAGTTTGGGATGCTCTGGATCGACGTATACGTCAGCGTGTTCCAGTTCCCGCCAATATCCAGCAACTTCGCACAGCCATTGAAGAGGAGTGGGAAAACATTCCACAGGCCACAATCAACAGCCTGATCAACTCTATGCGAAGGAGATATCGCGCTGCATGAGGAAAATAGTGGTCACACCAGATACTGACTCCTTTTCTGATCCACCCACCCTACTTTTTTTTTGGGTATCTATGACCAACAGACGCATACCGAAATGTTTCGGGTAGCCTTCCACAAGCTTCCCACAATAAGTTGCATGAATTTTGGCCCATTCCTCCTGACAGAGCTGGTGTAACTGAGTCAGGTTTGTAGGCCTCCTTGCTCGCACATGCTTTTTCAGTTCTGCCCACAAAAGTTCTATAGGATTGAGGTCAGGGCTTTGTGATGGCCACACCAATACCTTGACTTTGTTGTCCTTAAGCCATTTTGCCACAACTTTGGAAGTATGCTTGGGGTCATTGTCCATTTGGAAGACCCATTTGCGACCAAGCTTTAACTTCCTGACTGATGTCTTGAGATGTTGCTTCAATATATCCACATAATTTTCCTTCCTCATGATGCCATCTATTTTACTGTATCTGTATTCCCAGTCGTGAAATCCATAGATTAGGGCATAATGAATTTATTTCAATTGACTGATTTCCTTATATGAACTGTAAATCAGTCAAATCTTTGAAATTGTTGCATGTTGCGTGTATATTTTCAAGCATGTGGTGGCTGCATTATGTTATGGGTATGCTTGTCATTGGCAAGGAAGGTTTTTAGGCTCCCGAGTGGCGCAGCGGTCTAAGGCACTGCATCTCAGCGCTTGAGGTGTGCGTCACTACAGACCCTGGTTCGATTCCCGGCAGTATCACAATCCGGCAGTGATTGGGAGTCCCATAGGGCGGCGCACAATTTGCCCAGCGTCGTCCGGGTTTGGCCGGTGTAGGCCGTCATTGTAAATAAGAATTAGTTCTTAACTGACTTGCCTAGTTAAATAAAGGTTAAATAAAATAGGACCCCCAAAAAAACTGAATAGAGCTAAGCACAGGCAAAATCCTAGAGGAAAACCTGGTTCAGTCTGCTTTCCAACAGACACTGGGAGACAAATTCACCTTTCAGAAGAACAATAACTTAAAACACAAGGCCAAATATACACTAGAGTTGCTTACCAAGATGACATTGAATGTTCCTGAGTAGCCTAGTTACAGTTCTGACTTAAATCTATGGCAAGACTTGAAAATGAATACTTATGTAAATGACATTTTTCTGTATTTCACATTTTCACTTCGTCATTATGGGGTATTGTGTGTAGATGGGTGAGAAAGCTATTTAATCAATTTTGAATTCAGGCTGTAACACAACAAATGTGGAATAAGTCAAGGGGTATGAATACTTTCTGAAGGCACTGAGTGTGCAAAACATTAGGAGCACCTGCTCTTTGAATGACATTGACCAGGTGAATCCAGGTAAAAGCTATGATCCCTTATTGATGTCACCTGTTAAATCCAATTCAATCAGTGTAGATGAAGGGGAGGTGACATGTTAAAGAAGGATTTTTAACCCTCGAGACAACTGAGACATGGATTGTGTATGTTTGCCATTCAGAGGGTGAATGGGCAAGACAAAATATTGAAGTGCCTTTGAACGTGGTATGGTAGTGGGTGCCAGGCTCACCGGTTTGAGTGTGTCAAGAACTGCAACGCTGCTGGGATTTTCACACTGAACAGTTTCCTGTGTTTATCAAGAATGGTCCACCACCTAAAGGACATCCAGCCAACTTGACACAACTGTGGGAAACATTGGAGTCAACATGGGCCAGCATCCCTGTGGAATGCTTTCAACCCCTTGTAGAGTCCATGCCCTAACTAATTGAGGCTGTTCTGTGGGCAAAGGGGGTGCAACTCAATATTAGGAAGGTGTATATAGAAGTAGACTGTCAGTCTGAGAGTAGAGAAACACACACAGATGGCTGCCTCAGTGGGGGCGACTGCTGGGCTCCAGTAGGACCCTCTTCCCTAGGGGGAGGTTGGAGGTGGCGTTATCCAGGTCCCCCTGCTCCGAGATGGCCCGCTTGAAGCCCCGGCTGTGCCCATTCACCACTCCTCCACGGTGCCACTTACAGAGGTCCCCATTCAGGATGTCCTGGATGTGCTGCACGATGAGGTTGATGGCCACTGAGCATGAGAGGCAGATTAATAAGAGAGATGGAGGAGTGTGGAGAGAGAGGGATATGGAGAGGGTCTGAGTCTGCAGGCTTCATCAGAGTGCTATAACTTACCCATGTTGTCAACTCCTCGAGGAATAATTACATCTGCATATTTCTTGGTCTGGGGGGGAAAAGAACTAATCAATCTAAATTTGGTAGCTAATGCTCTCAAAAGACTGCATTTAGAACATAATATAAATTAGTCACTGGGTGTTATATGTGTCATTATCTTTTAAATGTCCATAATTAGCCCTATTAATAATGAATGAAAGTGTCCATTATCTGTTAGTTATCATCGGTGTATGGTGAGGGTGTGTGGCTCTGCTGGACATTTACAGGCAAACAGAACTCCTCGAAGGCTGGCTTGACAAACGTGGTGTACTGGTTAAGGATCTGCTCCAGGTCTCTGCCTCTCTTCATGTCCCGCAGAACTGCAGGTCAAAACCAAAACAACAACAACCAGGTCAGGACCAAGACAACAACAACAACCAGGTCAGGACCAAGACAAATGTGACAATTCAGTATATACATCAAATATGCTAGAGAAAAGTGTGTGTATGAGTATGGAAGTGGACGTGCATGTGACAATCCCCTTGTTAGGTGTGTGTGTTTCAGTAGTACCTCTGCGGGACAGCCTGACATCAGAGTCAGTGTCCACAAAGAGCTTCATGTGAAACATGTCCCTCACTTCCTGAGAGTAGAATACCAGAATGCCCTCAAACAGAACCACATCAGCGGGGTACACCGTGATCCTGTCCTGCAGCCTGGAAAACACACACACATTAAGCACCAAATGTATAGTACACACAGAGGTATTCTATTGACAGACTAACTTTCACTTTCACGTGAAGGCATTGTGTGTGTGTGTGTGTGTGTGAATTCATCTGCAAATGCATTGACATTCATGTCTGAGGCTGCACACACCGGGACGATGAACGGCCGAAAGCAGTAGGTGCCGTGCTCTATGATTCAACACAGAATCAGAATGGCTGTCTGCGCTTAGTTTTCACAGTGGCAAATATATTTTTAAAAATATATGGCACACTACACCGGTCTGATTGACGCCTGTCTCAGTGGACTAATCCATTGGAGACCGCGGGGATGGCACACCAGTACCACCACTAGTACATTTACCGTTAATTACCATCATTTCTAATTACAATGTTTGTTTATGGTAATTGATGTTAATGCTTTTTTACTGTTAATGCATTCAATGTATTATTATTACAGTCTTACCGTTGTCATTGTCGGAGTGGACGCGTTGTTTGCAGAGCGCACAACCTACGTTTATTTCTGAGTTGTTAATTTATTCATTGTCTTTTGTTTGGAGCGCGCCTGTCAATCTTGAGTAAGAACGCGCACCTGATTACGCATAGAAGTAGGCCTAGGCTACCTGGCCTGCTCACAAATGTAGGCCTATAAATGTGCCCATTTGGGGATCTGATACTATTTCTGATTTTCTTAATTCACCATCACTGTGGAGCTTCTCAAAGTAATTTTTTCTTTGCCTCATACAGCAAGTAAATGAAGTCTGTTTTTACATCCATTGAGAATGACAATAGTTCCTCAACGTAGCCTATTTCAAAATTATTTCCAGCTCTCTCCCTTTCGATAACCACACAGCATGAAAGGCAAAATAAATGTCATCCTCTGATCCAGTGGAAACGTCACAATATAGGCCTACCTGATTACTTCTTATCCCTTGCGCAAAGTAGCCTACAGCTGTTGTCTGTCTGTCCGGAACTCACTGGCACAGGAAACTGAGGGCCCAAAATATTTTATACAATGTTGCAAGTTTGCTAGCACGAGCATCAGGCTGGACCAAGTTAATAGTTGATACAATGTTTTAAGTTCCTTGCAGACAGGCCATGCGTAGCCAATGGGATTTATAGTATATTTATTTTTATCAGGATATTTTTTACCTGCAGGCTGCAATGTTTTTATTTGTTGGCTTTATGTAGGCTATTTTTACATAGTTGGCAATGGCAATAGAAGTTACTTTTAGATTTGTATCATTTTCAATGTTGATTAACCACAACATTGATTTTGAGTTTTGAAGACTATTATAAATTAAATGTTCCACGAAAATGAAAATCAATACTGGCACGCACGCAGTTCAGTAGAAATGGTACGATAACTTGGCACTCCAAATGGAAAAGGTTACCGACCGCTGGCGTAGCCTATTACCGGCAACTTCAGGAGCGTAACGGCAGAATCTGCGAAGACCAGCAGTAGAGGGTGGAGGGGGGTCGGGAACAGTTTTTTTCTTCTTCTGGTTAGGCTATATTGATCTCTGGCTCCCTCTTTAGTCATTTGTGTGTCTTCATTTTTAATCGCAGTGCTTAAAGCATCAGACAAGCTCCGTAGCCTACATATAGTTGATTTTATTTAAACATAGGGTGTTTGGAAAAATACACGTTTTAAAAGTGATTGGTCAAAAGAACAGACGACTCTCGGGTCAACCAGGATTTTATTTAGTTGGGAACTGCCCTAGTGTGCAAAACGTTTGGTCTTTTGCCAAACGTTTTGCAATGGAAACCGTTTACTCTAGGGTCCAAACGGAAGCATACAGACTAAACGAAACGGGGAGAGACCTATCTGAATTTGTCCAAAATAAACTTGTTTTCATTGCACAAAGTTTTCAGTTTGGAGTAAATGTTTTGCAACAGACTAATGCAATGAAATCAGACTAATGAATACACCCAGTTATTTTGGTTTTTCTTTTTCTTTAGGTCAAGGGTCATCTATCTGAGCTCTGGAATGTGGAGGGTGGGCATTTTTGATCCTGTCTGTCTGAATTCAAGAAGGGGCATTTCTGTTACACTGGGTCTGGATGGAATGTTTCCTTCTCACCTGGAATGCGTGACAAAGTCATATGTCGGCACCTCCACCACACTTATGGATGACGGATCACCACCTCAAGCTGAACCCTGGCAAGACGGAGCTGCTCTTCCTCCCGGGGAAGGACTGCCCGTTCCATGATCTCGCCATCACGGTTGACAACTCCGCTGTGTCCTCCTCCCAGAGTGCGAAGAGCCTAGGCGTGACCCTGGACAACACCCTGTCGTTCTCCGCCAACATCAAGGCGGTGACCCGCTCCTGCAGGTTCATGCTCTACAACATTCGGAGAGTGCGACCCTGCCTTACACAGGAAGCGGCGCAGGTCCTGGTCCAGGCACTTGTCATCTCCCGTCTGGACTACTGCAACTCGCTGTTGGCTGGGCTCCCTGCCTGTGCCATTAAACCCCTACAACTCATCCAGAATGCCGCAGCCCGTCTGGTGTTCAACCTTCCCAAGTTCTCTCACGTCACCCCCCTCCTCCGCACACTCCACTGGCTTCCAGTTGAAGCTCGCATCCGCTACAAGACCATGGTGCTTGCCTATGGAGCAGTGAGGGGAACGGCACCTCTGTACCTTCAGGCTCTGATCAGTCCCTACACCCAAACGAGGACATTGCGTTCATCCACCTCTGGCCTGCTGGCTCCCCTTCCTCTGCGGAAGCACAGCTCCCGCTCAGCCCAGTCAAAACTGTTCGCTGCTCTGGCACCCCAATGGTGGAACAAGCTCCCTCACGACGCCAGGACAGCGGAGTCACTCACCACCTTCCGGAGACATTTGAAACCCCACCTCTTTAAGGAATACCTGGGATAGGATAAAGTATTCCTTCTAACCCCCCCCCCCCCCCCCCCCCCCCAAATTGTAAAGTGGTTATCCCACTGGCTATAGGGTGAACGCACCAATTTGTGAGTCGCTCTGGCTAAGAGCGTCTGCTAAATGACGTTAATGTGCCCTTGAGCAAGGCACTTAACCCTAATTGCTCCTGTAAGTCGCTCTGGTTAAGAGCGTCTGCTAAATGACTAAAATGTAAAAAATGTAAAATGTACTCCCCTCCACAATATCCTTCAGGGTTTGGTACATCAACTCGTTGTCGAAAGCATCTGTAATAAACATTAAGGTTATTAACTCAATTACACTGTTCAGCCAGAACATTAGCCATTTATAATTCTAGCAAAGATTCATTAAACGCCATGATTAACTAAATCCACGTTATCTAAGTGATAAGTGACTGACTGAGAGCTTATGTTATTACAACGATTATACTTATGTTATTACAATTCATACAGGCCTGTAGTACATTTTACATTTACGTTTTAGTCATTTAGCAGACGCTCTTATCAAGAGCGACTTACAGGAGCAATTCAGGGATTCTAACCAGCGACCTTTCGGTCCAATCTTTAGGCCCAACGCTCTTAACCGCTAAGCTACCTGCCACCCCCACCTGGGTGGTCAAAGTTGTAATGGCCCTTGAGTGCCTTGGCCTTCTGGTCAGGTGTCAAGACTCTGTAGAAACTGTCTTGGCTGACGATAGCAACTTTCCTCTGACGATGGTCCACCTTGTTCTGGCCCAGCAACTCCATGATTTTGGCACATACTGTTGACTAAAAAACAGACAGGTTTATTATTTCCTAGATTAGCACAGTTTAGCTAAATCTATCACATAGAAAGGGGTTATGTGTATTTCAACATTTTGTGAGTTGAGTAAAGTTTCCATGAATAGTGTGTAATATACCATGTTAAAGACCTGTCACACGCAGGAAATGTATTGACATTTGGCATATTTTCAGTTTGATGATGAGGTTGGAGCAGAGAGCAGTAGCTGACACTTTTCAAAATAATCTCACAGACAGAAAACAAGACACTAACTTTAGTTTAATTGATGGCTTGGTGGCAAGAAACGTCCCCATTTTCATTAGCGATGTCACATCACATCACGAGTTCTCCTATTCCTGCATGACAACCAAGCTAAGAGTGCGCAATAATTCTAACTAGATAGCTAGCTAGCTGTATACCATTAGCTAGCTAACTTTAAGTGCCTTACATTTATGAAAACAGACGTTCGTAAATTATTAGGCCAAAGAAAATACAAATTGTTATCACGTTTTGGTACAGGGGCGTGTCTGCTCTCAGTGCATGGGGAAACGAAAGCTAACGTTTCCGACTAACGTTACTGTTTGTTGATGTGACCTAAAGTTAAAGGCGCTTCATGGTCAATTCATGCTTCGCGGCGCAGAGCTGATGTGAAGGAAGTTGTCAAGTTAGTGAGTTTGTGTTTACACAGGACCTTCCGCCCTCAATCATGTCAATGCGGAGCTATACGGAGCCTTCCGCATTGTTACAACACGGCGATGCCGTACAGAGCTCAATCTGGCCACCACCATTACGGCGCCTCCGACCACATTTTCGGATCAAGCATACATTGGCTCTTACTAACCCATACAGCTAGATAAGGCACGCTAGCTATTATTAGTTACCTACCTTGCCACTGGCCGTTCCTCCGCTAACACCGATCAGAAACGGACGGTGTCTTGGCCGCTCCATCTCGAACGGTCTGATAGCAGCCATATCGGGGCAATTTGTCGAGTAACAGCACGCTTGTTTAGCTAGCTTGCTGCCTTCTTCTTCTTCTTCTTCTATAAAGATTATGGAAGACTACACCTATTTGTGTATTGCCGCCACCTCTGTACGGGGTCTTCTTCTTTGATATTATGGCGGTCCGCAAACAAATGCTATTGGTGCATGCCGCCACCTACTGTTTTGGCTGTATATCAGCCCAAATAATTAACAAAATAATACAAAACAAAAATCAATGCGCTCCTTTATTCAGATTCAACTGTCAAAGCTCATCATCCCTGCAGGTTCTGGGGCCTGAGAAAAAAATAGCATCTTCGGACAGTATTCTTTGCACCGTTTGGGCAGTGAAGTCATGGAAACCCAAAAACCTTTCAGCCGCTGATACTATTATGTCCAGTTTCTTGGACTTTTTGTTCGTTTGTGCAGTACAATTAATCACATGCGCGATAAACACCATAAAATTCACCTTCTTCACAATCAGCATATTAGTTTCCCTCAACTGTTGAACAACACTCTGAATCTCCCCAGTCTAGCTGCTTTATAAAACAATAATCTGTTCACGTTCATACGTGTAACAACGCGAGAACACGGACAAGCACTTCCTTCAGAAAAATAATGTTTGTAAAAACGTCAAAATAAGGGTCCTCATTTTGAAACTCATGAAATAAGTGTGAAAAAAATGCTGTAATGTTGCAATAATACATTAAATTGGCCACCATGCAGTTTTTGTAATGTTCTATTGCCTAGGCCTACTGGTTCTCTGAAGCTTGCAGGAGGAAATAAAATGATTGCACTAGTGCATATGAAAGAACACAGGAGACCCCTCAGGAAATAAAAACACAGCACATTATCCCACTACTTCAAAATATACTGTATTTCAACCATAGAAGTGGGTTAATTGGTTAAGGTAATTGAAAATAGGCCTATTTGGCTCTGGTGATTTGTCTGTCAGGGTGGGTGTGGTCTCCCATGGCATCACATTACATCACAATCATGATGTCATAAATGACTGTGTTCAGATATGTTGACAGCCTAAATGGTTTGCCATAGCGTTACTGTCACATTACGGCAACACTTAAGTTCAATTCAGGGTCAAAACCATTGCTATATTTTGGATGGTTAATTTTGAAGTGCTTGGTGGTAAGTAGTTGTGACCACTTGTGATTTAGTGTGAGTAGTCCTACTTTGTGGCACAATTTAATTGAGTTTATTTAAATAATATAATAATATTTTTAAGCCATATTGTATCTTTTTCAGGATTACAGTAATTGAGGGAACCATGGGAAAGTTCTCCTTCCCAAGGCTCATCATAAGAATGGTTAGAATCCCTTTTCTCTCACCACCCTCAGTCAAAACTCCAGTGCTTTAAAATCATCATTTTGACATTTAGGCCTATGAGCTTTTCTAAGATTGAAAATAACAAGCTTGTATAATGATAACCTCATTACTGACTGCATGTGTGTCCTCATTTTAATTTCTAGCCATGGGCAAATCGGACTGCACGGGACGATTTCTGCACAGGAACTAACGAACTCCACAGGCTCAGAACAAACTACCCTCACAACTCCTCACAACTCCCCAGCCATACTGTAAGTCCCATCTGCAGGCTAACTCTATGATCTCCAGACTAATAATTTATGGCCAATCAGTGTAAACTTCGTACTAACTACGGCTTGATCTAGTGTCAACATTATACCTTCTTGATATTCTATATCAACGGAAAACGATGGAAGGCACATAATAATCCAATGAGTAAAACAAAATATACCATGTTCTATTCTCAATATCCCTACTGCCCCAAAGGTGTGTAGGCAGGGCAAGGAGAACACCGATTCAACCCAGAAGAAGAGGAAAAAGAAGAGGCACAATGAGAAGGGGACCCAGGTTGAACTAGGCTTGCGGGAGGAGATCCATGACCTTGAGCTCGCCCATTGGAGATTGGCTAAAGAGACATGGAGAACTGAGCGAAGGAACATGAGGGAGATGAAGGCGCTGTATGGAGAAATATTTAGGCTGCACAAGTTGTTGGAGGAGGTAACGAGCAGTTTTCTTAAATCAGACTTCTCAGTAGATATACTGTAGTTGCTTTGAGATGTTCCCAATCCTGATACACGGAAATTAGATCTAAATAGTTTGAATAGTGAAATAAGACAGCAATAAAAAAAACTGCACACTGGTAGTATTCTCAGGAAGGTCTGCATTCTGCACTGGTAGTATTCTCAGGAAGGTCTGCATTCTGCACTGGTAGTATTCTCAGGAAGGTCTGCATTCCTAGAAGAGTTGAAAAAGAATACATCCAAAAGTGTGGACGATCCCATTTTCCTAATTAGCTAATATACAGTAATAAAATGTTTTCTCTATAATATGTACTACCCATACACATATAATTGTTTTAAGATAGTAATAACATGGACCATCAAGCTATTAAGTAATAAAAATGTGTCTGTCATCATACAGATTGGGGTAGATAAAGGGGTGATCAAGCAGCGCTCCATCTCCTCCATTCTTTGTCCCATCTCCCCGACACTGCCAGCTCTCCCCTGGTACAATCTCCACAAGTACCTCACCAAAAGCCAATCGGAGTGTGACCAGCATGCCGCCGCCACCCAGAAGAACCCGGCTAAGAAACACTCAATCTTTCCCCCTCTGGTCACACAACGGCCTCATTCTCCGTCCAAGACGTCGCACCCACACGCTTCACACAGATTTTCTGTCCCATCCCACCTCCTGGCTCCCGGCCCTCCTGCCCAGCTGAGGCAGACCCATCCGCATGTCCACCCCAGGTCCCCATTGACTGACCAGGCAAAGGTCAAGGATAAGGTCAAGAGGTCAGAGGTTGCATCATCTGAGGAATTGTCTGAGGAAGTTCAACGGAGAGGCGCAGAAATTGCGAATATGTATAAAGCGCAGCTGAAAGAGAGGATGGCCCAAAAGAGAAAGGAAGAGATTCTGAAGAAAAGGATAAACAACTATGACAAGAACGATGACACTGAGGCCTCCTGCTCCTCTGCAGTAGGACAATCCAAGACCCCTGCCACAGCCCCCGAGCGTCCGGCCAGCCCAGAGGCCACGCCAGTGGCCGTCCAAGAGGACACTCAGGGGGCCACCCAGCAGGACCTAGCAGAGGTTGTGAATGTGCTCAAGAGGCAGTCATCTGACCTATACCTGCCTGACGACGTTTGTGAGGATTCACTCACGTGGAGCTCCATTTACGAGGAGCTGTGCCCACTTGCTCACAGGGTGAACTCAGAAGCTGACTACATCAAGGCGCTCTGCGACACCACTGAGAAGGCTGTGACGCCCTTGCGCTTGTCTCAGGAGGATGTGTCTCAGAGTATGAGTGAGGACACAAGTGAGGAGGGGAGTAGTGAAAGTGAGGAGAGCATGAGTGGACAACAACAGAGATGTCTACACAGGGATCCTTATGGTGAGAGGGAGAGGAAGAAGATTGATAGTCGTACAATGGAAGGGAGATATGCAACCGCAAATGCAATGTCTATGATGGCGAGCCTAGGGAAAGAAGAACTTAATGCCATGAGCTACGCAGAGAGGCTTAAATATTTCAAGGACGAGGCTAAGAAAAATGAAGAGATGTTGAAGATGAAAAGTGGGAAGGAAAAAGAAAGGAAGGCGGAGAAAGACAGGGAAGAAGAGCTCAAAAAGTGGGAAAAGAGACAGAAGAAATCGGTTGAGGAGGAAAGGAAAATGACAGAAAAGATGGAAAAAAAGAAGTTAGAGGAGCAGATGAAAAGGGAGAAGGCAGAGATGAAACTAAAGATCGAACAAGAGAAAAAGAGACAAGAGCAAGAGAAAAAGAGAGAAAAAAAAGAAATGAAGAAGCAGCAGATGCAACAGAAGGCCCGCGAAAAAGAAGAGAAAAAGAGGGTGGAGAAAGAAAAAAAGAGGGAGAAAAAGAGGGCAGAGGAGTTGAAAAAGATTGAGAAACAGAGGATGGAGGAGGAGAAGAACAGGGAAAAGGGAGAGAATGAAGGTGCTGGAGATGCAGCAAAAGGCACAAGAGAAAGAAGAGAAAAGGAGGAAGGAGGAGAAGAAAAGGAGATTGAAGATACAGCAGGAACAAGAGAAGGAGGAGAAGAAAAGGCAGAAAAGGATATGGGACGAGGATAAGAAGAGAGCAGAGCTTCAAAGAATAAAAGATGACGAGGCCAGGTTCAAGATGGAGATGGAGAAACTGTATGAGAGAGAAGAGCGGAATGCACAGATTGAAAGAGAAAAGAGGCGTGCGATGTATTAGAAAAAAGGGCAGACACAGAGAGCAAAACAGGTGGTGCCATACCAGGTCACAGCGTTTACATCTGTGTGGACGGAAGAGAGGGAGCAGTGTCCAGAGACCGCTCACGCACAGTCTGCCAAGAGGAGAACAAGGAAGAAGCAGAAGTATGAGGCGGACGAGGCGTTGACAACTTTTGAGTAGATGACGAAAGAAAAGCGAGCAGACAAAGGAAGAAAGAAATGTTGTCAATGCTCTTAGGTATGTTAATAGATGTAAATAAACAAACATTTTTATATTTAAGGCAAAAAACAAACAAAAAAACTGGAAAAGGAGCAAAAGGGGGGGGGGGGGGGGGGGGGGATAATACAGAGCCAGGCATGAGGGTGAAGGGAAACCAGAGTGGTTTATCAGGAGGGAAATAGGAGATATAGAATTCAAGTTCTGATGGACAGAATCAGGACGGACCATGGGATAAAAGGTCAATGAGATTAGCAGTAAAGAAGAGCTAAGTGGATCAAAAGAAAGTTATGGAAAACGCAAGGGGGGAGGGCAATACTCAGAGGCAGAAGAAGACAAGATAAACAGAGACCAAGAGAAAAGAGGTGAAACCGTTTCATAAGAGTAATAGAGAGAAGATGGACATATGGGCAAATTAGCTATCCCAACTGGAACCTAGCTAATGCATTCCGAAGAGGCAGACTTCCAGTCTGAGGTAGATGAAAAGAGCAGCCATAGAAACAGATCTGTAGAAGCATCAATTGGAAAGGATGGGAGGGTTGGAGGAGGAGCACATTTGGATGACTACATTAGGTAAGTGTTTACGATCAAAGCCTGTTCTCTGTAGACAACTGTATTAGTGTTGACAGAAGTGCATTTATGCAATGTCTTTCAACTCAAAAACTACAATTCCTGATCTCATGTGATTATTCACCTCATGTAAGTGGGCTTTCGGATGTTTATTTTTTCCTGAAACAGATTGTGGCATATGAGGTCACTTTATCTGATGAAGCATCAATAGGAGAGGATGAAAGGGAGGGAGGGAGAGGAAAAGACAGAAGAACAGATGAGGTAAGTGCTTGGGCTTGTGATAAGAGGATGGGGGCTCCAGAACTCGACTTCATGATTTAAAATGATAAGACAAATGTATTACTGTGAATCCCATTCGTTCAATGACTGTTTGTTGTTTTAACAGGAGCACTATGTTCTGCTTCCGTGTGGATTGACAGCATTGCTTTAATGAGCTGCTGGAGGGCACAATGGAGGAAGAGGGAGAGCGTCCATTATAGGCCGTTTGCCATGGCCCTAAATGGGCTTTTGGATGTTCATTTTTCCTGCTTTATATCATACAACTTTACAATAAAAATGAATTGCAAGCATCAGCCTTTTCTGTTTGAGTGTGATCCGTGCAGTAGTTGTAGGATTGGTGTAAACCCAAATAATATTCTGACACTAGTGTTCAGTTGGTATAAAATAGTGTGATAAGAAATGATCAACATGTTATGAAAACAATATAGAGATAGAAATATCAAAAGCAGTGTTGCATTTATTTAGTAATTGCTATTTCTCACTCATAGAGAATGGTGTCCTTGTTGTGATCAGTCCATCGACAAATGCATGTATGCGCATACACACACAGAGAGTTAGTCATGATTTCCCTGAGTCATCAGACTCTGGTGAAGGTTTCTTTGCATCTGCATCTTGAGCAGTCTGTGTTGAATCCTTGCCAAACTTGTCTACAACAATCTCGAAGGCCGCCTCTCCTTCTACCCTCTTCACTTTCTCCCCTTTCGATGCAAGGATTTCCTCAATGTTCCTGTAGGGAAAAAAACAAACCATGAATAAGAAAGAAAAAAAATCAGGAATAATACTCAAGTCTTAAGGAGGCTGCATGCAAACAGAGCGAAGGAGCGTCGTATATGGTCCGTTCCAAAATCTGAGTCACACAAAAGTACCTAGAACTACCTGTGAATATTATGCTGGGTTTGCGTGAAGTGTGTAGGGCCCTTTAGTCCACACAAACGTTACAGCCTATTAATACGGTATTCACTTATGATTCACTATGACTGCAGTTCCATTTCTCTTCTGTGCATGTCACTATCAATAGGGGAAATACATTTACATTTAAGTCATTTAGCAGAGTGATTTACAGTTAGTGAGTGCATACATTTTTGTTTTCTTCTTCATACTGGCCCCCCGTGGGAATCGAACCCACAACCCTGGCGTTGCAAGCGCCATGCTCTACCAACTGAGCTACAGGAGACAATACGTAGACTAGCTAAAGACCTGTCCATAAAGTTCCCAGCTGCGCCTGAATCAACCAGCGCCTTACACTGGGGAACTACCGTGTAATCAGGGAAGTTGACGTGGATGGTGAAATGCGCAGCAGAGGGCTCTGAACGAGTGTGGGTTTGCGCTACCTGAGGTGACGCGAGAGTGCCCTGCCTGCATAACATTGTAATACTGTGCATGCATGTAAAATGTTCACAACTACATTAACTTGGCCACCAACCTCTTTCCCTTCAGGTCAGAGAACCAACCCAAGTTGTCAGCAATAATGTGGTGTTTTTCACATCCTGGGCAGGTCACTAGGACAACACCTTTATGATAGGCTACCTTGGATATCCTCTTTGTTGACCTGGTTGAGCACACCTGCATACAGATCATTGACAGTAAAATAATGAAACCGTTTATTAGAAGAGTCAGGGTGAAGAGTCAGTCTGAACTTTATAAACTATCCATATAATCTTATTCATTATCTAAAAGGCAAAACTGATCCATCAGCACTGATCCATCAGCACTCCTACTCTGAGATGGTTTGTGGATACGGGCCCTGAGTACCAGTGTTCTGATCACCTCACCAACCAAATCTTGATTGACAAATCATGCTATGCCTGTCACTGTAGAAACATGATGTGAACAAGAACTGATCTTCCATTTAAAATCTCATCCATTACCTTGCATGTGTAAACCAGGTGGTAATGCGTAGAATGGATCTTCCCAATGGCATCGCTGCAGACGTGTGTGGTGGTAGAGAATTCTTTATGTATAGGTACATTTCTTCGATACTGCCTGAAAGCAACTGGCAAAGTCGAACCACTGCTGTATCTTGATTGGGAAGTGGACAACTGACTGGTCCCTGATGCAAGAGGTTGTAAGTGCAGTAGTATTGTCCTTGATAACTGAGGCCATGATCTCGACAAGGTATAACTTCTATGACAGTGCCATAATATGCGATTCGTAACCCGAATTGTATTCTGTTGAAACATTGAGGAAAATTGCTACGATTTTTGTATTTATTCGGTACTGTCAAGCTTCTGTTGTCCTCAACGTGGTTGAGTCGCAATCTAATGACATGAAAGAACATTTTTGATCTGTTTCGAATAGAAGCCAATCGTTTGTTTCCATTTTGATGACGGATATCGCGTTACACCAATGATAAACCCCATATTGAAGAAGGCGGGTCTACTGATCCGCACGTGAACCAATTAAATCATCGCAAACGTTACCTATTAAGCTTAGCAAGCTACATTATTTGAATGTTTATATGACTGTTTCAATGCGTTGGTAGCAGATAATAAGCAAAAATGAGCAACGAAGCGGTCTTTGAAACAATTGAAGAGGTCAATAAGCATATCTCACACGTCGAAGAGTCAACCTGTGTGAAATATATTTCTTACCGTGTGGACAAGCGCTTCAATGACCAAGGTAAACTAGCTAACTACGTTAGCCAAAGAGTGTGCTGCCTGTAGGAAACATGCATTGATCAAGCTACTGACAGTGCAAACAATCACCAGAGTGACATGGCTATCTTATAGCCCTTCCATTATATTTAGCTACCTACATACTATTTAGCTACCTATATTGAATGATTATCCTTACGTAGTGATGCATCGTCCACAAACTACTGGTGTATTCATTAGTCGGATTCCGTTGCAAAACGTTTTGTCTGTTGCATTTTGCAACGGAAACAGTTTACTCCAAGCGTAAAACACTTTGCAACGAAAACGAGAGTTTCTACTGGACACATTCAGGTAAGTCACTCCCCGTTCTAGTTCCGCTTGCTCAGACAGTTTGCTTCCGTTTGGTTCCTAGACCGACTAATGAATACACCCCTGGACTCATGGCTCTTTCAATGTGTTGTGCTAAACAGGTTGGAAACCACAGGACCACAAGAACAGGCTATACTGGGAATGGAAGTATGGCAAGGGTACTCCCTCTATCCCCTTTGACCGCGTACCCTTCATGTTCATTGGACACAAGCTGATGGGATGCCACCGGGGCCGGGCAAAGTGTGGAATCAAGAAGAGGCAGGATCTTGAGGCTCAAAGGGTGCTAATATCTATGATATTCTGAAACAGCTTTGAAGTGTTCCATGTAAATTATTAGGATGTATTGTGCATCTGAACCTAATGTGATATAACAAAATATTTTTGGTATTCATTACTGCGAGTTACAGGTTAGATACTGTTTGGTGTAGCACAGAGAATTTTCGACCAACCTTAGCTTGGTGATGCTGTCTTCGTCCTTGAATCTTTGGTTAAATCACATTATCAGGTGTAACAATCTGTAGCTAGGATGTATTTTGCATCTAAACCTGAATCGAATTCATTAGGGCACACCATGGAAAAACGTTTCAAAGCATTGTGCAATGGAAAACGTAAAGGAGCTTTTCTTATTGGAGTTCAGGTTGTCCCTCCCTATTTCAGTACATTTTCTTCCATATGGTGCCTAATGAATACGACCCTGGTTCCATCAATGCTTCTAGGTAGTTGTGGGGTTCACAACCAATCTCAACAATTCCATTCTTACCTGCCACTAATTAATTTTCTCCAAAATCCTCAAAAAGTTATACAGCTGCATGATTGAGAGCATCTTGACTGGCTGTATCACCGCTTGGTATCCGACCACAAGGCGCTACAGAGGGTAGTGCGTACGGCCCAGTACATCACTGGGGCCGTGCTCCCTGCCATCCGGGACCTCTATACCAGGCGGTGTCAGAAGAAGGCCCTAGAAATGATCAAAGACTCCAGCCACCCATATCATAGACTGTTCTCTCTGCTACAGCATGGCAAGCGGTACCGATGCATCAAGTCTGGAACCAACAGGACCCTGAACAGCTTCTACCCCCAAGCCATAAGACTGCTAAATAGTTAACCAAATAGCTACCCAGACTATCTGCATTGATCCCTTTTGCACTAACTCTTTTGACTCATCACATACGCTGCTGCTACTGTTTATTATCTATCCTGTTGCCAAGTCACTTTACCCCTACCTATATGTACATATCTACCTCAATAACCTCGTACTCCTGCACATCGACTCAGTACAGGTACACCGTGTACATAGCCAAGTACTCATTGTGTATTCATTCCTCATGTTATTATTTTTCTGTAATTTTTCTCGGTATTGTTGAGAAGGGCCCGTAAGTAAGCATTTCACTGTTGGTTTACACCAGTTGTTTACTAAGCATGTGACAACTAACATTTGATTTTGATCTTTCAGGAAAAAGATGGCAAGGAAAAAAGAAACCTTTTGCTGAAAACCAAGAAGGTAGCATGTCCTGCTGTGTTCACAATCAGCCGCATTGTCAAGTTCCCTGGATTCAAGGTACCGGTGAAATACTGTGTGTATATGTTTATTATGTTACACCAGTGATCACGCACCTCAGACTAGTACACTTAATTCTATCTCTGTGTGTGTGTGTGTGTGTGTGTGTGTGTGTGCGCACTCGTGCCACACTGCATCAGTTGGAGAAGGACACATCACGGTTGAGGAGGGTCATGTCTATTTCCATCAAACAAGCTCTCCAGACAGACCCAGCCTCGGTGCCGTGGAAGATACAGTATTTCCTCAAAATACCCAGTGTCACTGACCACAAGGGCCATCCAATTGGCAAGGTATTACTATACTATTACCATGGGATATATTGCATTGGACTCTCTTTAGGCTACATATCAAGTATCTGTAAGCCTTTATGTCCGTTCGGTACACAGATGTAATAAAACCTTAATCTCTTAAAATTCCCTGAAGAATACAAGTATCTAACCCTGTAACAGTGGTTAGGGTTATTCTCTCCCTACTTAACAAACGCCACTCTCTCCTCGCTCCCTCAGGGTGCAGATCAGGTGGACGACAGGGTCAAAGGTTACATCCGAGCGTTGGTGCAGCAGGGGGTGAGGAAGGTGAAGGAGGTAAAGAACCAGATGGTCCAGTACGTGCGGACGGAGCTGTTCCGAGACACGACCCCGCCGCCGCTGAGGCGCTTCTTCCCCACAGAGAAAACCATCCATGCCGTCATGGCTCAGGTCATCGCGGAGGAACACTACAGCAAAATAGACCTGGTCAACCTGCTGGTGAGAAGGCTGCGCTGCGCTCCATCTATCCCACCTATTCAGCAAATATTTTGATTGTCTTAGATAAGGCCTATGGGGCTTGTGGTGTTAGCTGTATGTTTTCAATGCAATTTATGAACAGTTTGTATGTGTGTCACCTTTATTATACAATTCAGGAATGCACATGCAGAGTTTTCCACGGACTCAAGAAAGATCTAAATTCATAACCGCTTTGTAGTGCTTTATCCTTACATGGGGAAGAGCAGGAAGCCACTGAAGATGTTTGTTGTCATCATCCCAGAGCCTTGAGTCTTTCCAGAGACTCCTTTCTCCAGCAACAAAGGCTGTGTTTACAAAGGCAGCCCAATTCTGGTATTTTTCCTACTAATTGGTCTTTTCACATCAGATCTTTTTCTGATGATTGGTCAAAAGACCAATTAGTGAAAAAAAGATCAGAATTGGGCTGCCTGTCTAAATGCAGCCAGAGTCACTGAATTTGATAAATAATCATTGCATCCATTGTGATTGTATTTACATTTTAGTAATTTAGCAGACGTTCTTATCTAGTGCGACTTACATGAGCAATTAAGGTAATGTGCCTTGCTCAAGGGCACATCGACAGATTCTTCACCTAGTCGGCTCTGCGATTCGAACCGGCAACCTTTCTATTACTGGCCCAACCCTCTTAACCGCTAGGCTACCTGCCGCCCTACTTGTTGACAGTAGACGCTGTCCATTATTATGTAAATCTACAACAACTGGGTTGAGTGATGTCATTCTCACAGACCCCACCACTCTCCCTGAGCCCATTCCCCAAACAGACAGAACAGCAACACCAGCAGAGCTAAAGCACCTCTCATTCTAAAACATATTTTTAGAAAGTATGTTGTCTGAGACTTAGTCCCCTTCTACACACTGGATATGGTGAACTAATACATGGGAACTTTAACAGGTGTCCTCAGTGGAATATTTGGGAACATAGCCAAGGACTGTGTGTGATGTAACAGAGCACAGATAAATAGTACTCCATGACACCTCATTCAAATTTGGGATTGTTTAAGGCCATGGGAATATCACTGGTGTAGTTTAGAATAAGACAGTGACATGCTATAGCAAAAGTCAAGGTTCACTTCCATATATAAAGCTCACGTTGGAGCAAAAAGGAGTTTGGTTAGCACTTAAATAGTTGAAAGGATGCAGAAGTTGCACCTCAGCTATTAACCATGTACAGCTATTATGATTACCAGCTCTGTGACCCTAACATGACCCCAACTTTGGTTTTACTCTGTCTCCCCCCTTAGACCCTGGCAGAGAATTGGAAGGCGGAAGCTCCTAGAATCAACTTCCTACTTAGGGTCCAATCAGAGAGCGAGAACCTGTTGCTGTGCTACCAGACAGACTGGCAGCGGCGGCTGCTCCGGCAGTATGGCAAGGAGGTGTGCTTCCTGGACGCGGCCTACAAGAGGACGCGCTTCCCCCTGCCACTCTTCTTCCTGTGCGTGCGCACCAATGTGAGCGTGGCGCCCGTGGGCCTGTTCGTGGTGCAGTCGAGGAGCGCCGAAGCCTTGGGGGAGGCGCTGGGGGTGTTCAGGCAGTGGAACCGGGGCTGGAGCCCAGCCTACATCCTCACTGAACACTGCCCTGTGGAGATGAAGGCGGTGGAGGCCGCATTCACAGGTGAACAGTGGTGAGGTTTTAATGTTAGCTATGAGGTGGGAAAAGCAAGTTAGCTCCATAATGTGCTCTCAACACTGTTGGTTTTGAAAAGACTTGTTGGTCAAGAAAAGGTTTAACCTGTTACAGTCTTTTAAGTACTAGAGGATGATGGGGTTAGAGTTAGCTAATTATGGACTATTTCACATTCCAATCTCAGGTGCTCAGGCAGTCTTCAGCGATCACCTGCGGGAGAGGACCTGGACCAAGTGGCTGAGCAACCGGTCCCGAGCCATCACCAACCAGGAGGGGATCTTTGATATGATGAAGGCCATCGCTGGAGCCCTTACCAGAGAGCAACACCAGGGGGCAGTAGAACGACTACAGCAGAGCCCCATCTGGCTGGAGAAGAGACAACTCTTTAAGAACTGGTTCACTAACAAGTGGCTGTCAGAGGAGAAGGTTTGTAGTGCACATGTCAATTAATGACATCACAGGGGCAATAGGGTCAGGTCCTGGACCTGCTCTGTCTTCACCTGCATATTAATGAAGGTCAGAGTGGTTAGACGGAAAGCAGATCTCAGACCTGTGCTTAGAGGTGCTTTCATCCTGAAGCAGACAGCATGTTTAAACCACATATACTGTATGTAGACAGTAGTCTGTAGCAGTAACAAGTGTGTTATGTTTTTGCTAGCTATTTAGTCATTTAGCAGATGCTCTTATCCAGAGCGACTTACAGTTAGTGAGTGCATACATTTTTTCATACAGCTATATCCATGATACGGTATCTAGCAATATATCCATAATATGCTAGCTATAGGTCCATAATGTGCATCCTAGTCTAATGATGGTGCATACAGAGGTTAGTGACATGCTGCTGTTTTTGTTCATTCAGAGATGGGCGAACGCTGTGAGGGTTGATATTGTCAACTTTGTGTCTGTGGTGAACGGAGGTCTGGAGATGCAGAGCGACTTTTTCACACATAACAACATGAAGGTCCATAAAAAAGACACCCTGAGCCAAATGCTGCAGTTTGTTGTTGATGACTACTTCCCACCGATGCACCAAAGGTAAGTCCGTTTTAGAATAGGATTCACTGTCATTTAGAATGGTATTCGCTGTCAAAAGTGGTCTTCTGTTGAGATATCTGCAAAATGAATGGAAGATAAGCACCATATAATTTCCAGATTTGCGGTGCTCATCTTTTCCATTCATTTGGGGTTAAGATGTGTTGCTTGTTCTGCACAACCAATGGCATAGGATCTTGACATTAGACTACTTCTTAAAACTTTTATTTTGGAGTGTAATGCCTCTTTAATGTAAGTGTTTTGATGTTTGGTCAATCTAAAAACCTGCTACACTCCCTGAACCTGCAGGTACACAGACCTCAACAGCCGGTCCTCCGGCGAGTACAGCCTCAACCCCACTGCGCCTCCGTTCCTGTGGCATCGCCCTTTGGGTGTGGTGGCCCTGGTGATGGACAACATGTCTGCCGCCCTGCAAGACTCCGACATTGTGGTGGAGCAGGCCAGTGACGCCGCCAACGGCACCTTTCGGGTGAAGAGTCGGGCAGAGAGCACGTCAGGGCGGTCCTACACGGTCAGCTTCGGTTCAGAGGCCACCTGGCCCTCCTGTGAGTGTGAGGTGTGGAGGGACCAGCGCCTGCCCTGTGAACACTTCTGTCACGTCTTCAGGTCTGAGCCTAACTGGACCTGGGAGCACCTCTGTCCCAAATACAGGGACCACCCTCTGCTCACTCTGCATTCACACACCACAACGGAGGAGGAGATAGAGGAAGCCCTCAATGGTCTAATGCATCTCTCCCCAGCTTCCCCAGTCTCTCTTCAGTGGGATGGGCCTGAAGAAACAGTGCCACTGGTGCAAACTCCTCAAACTCCACAGTTACAACTGCATAGCATACAAACACAGTGGGTGGCCCCACAGGCTTCACAGGGTCCGCGGGAGAGGGAGGAACTGCAGAGGGAGTGTGTGGCCAAACTCAAATCCATCATGGAGAATGTGAGCGGGATCAACGACATTGACCACCTACAGGAGCTCAGGCAGAAACTGGACGTTCTCCAGGCTCAGAGTGAGACCATGTTGGATCAGAAGGACGCTGGCGTCAAAACAGTGCCCACCCCCAAGGGCAAGAGAAAGAGGGCAGGGGTGGAGATTATCGTGGCCATGCCAAAACGCATCAAAGTGCTCTCCCAGATTGATGTAGAAAATGTTCAGAAATAGCTTTTTTCTAAAGAGGGAAAATAAAGAATATACGTATTAAAGGGCAACTCTGCCACTTTTAACATGTGGGTTGTTATTATGTAGTATTTAGTGTTGTCCTACACAGTTTGTAATTTTTTTATTTAATGTCTTTTGACTCTTTTTAGTGATGAGCAAAACCGGAAATTGCTTCTCTGTGACGTTTTCAAGTAAGATTCCTGAGTTGACTAATAAAATAAATTATGGTCAGTCATTTTCAGCCATCTATATAACCCGTCTGTAGTTTTCTGATCATATGTGAACTCCCTGCTATATGTAGCTCTGGTTGTCTTAGTCTAATAAAGGACTCTGTTAGGATGGGGTGACGTTGTATCCAGTTCTGGGTCAGCTTGATTTAAGGCACTGCAGGTTCACAAACCTTTACATAACAAATAAATCAGGTATTGCACAAAGTGGTTTGGAAGTTAAGGTTATTTATTTTGTGATCGGATAATACGCACATTAACTTGCTCAGCCTGATTATCGTGAATAATAGGCATCATCAATAATTTCAATCAACACATTTCCTTTCAGTAACAGGGCCTCCTGTAGCTCAGTTGGTAGAGCATGGCGCTTGCAACGCCAGGGTTGTGTGTTCGATTCCCACGGGGGGCCAGTATGAAAAATGTATGCACTCACTAACTGTAAGTTGCTCTGGATAAGAGCGTCTGCTAAATGACTAAATGTAAAATTAACTGCGTCATTATTACAGCTTTCCAAGGGCTCAAGTGTGTACGATGAAGCAGAGCTGGCTCAGCTAGCACCGGATTTTGTAATGGGCGTATACTCTGTGATGAACATGCACAGCATTTCGACATTACAAGTTGTATGGATTGACCTCAAACGCCTCTACTATATGGGTGGTGGTTCCCATTAGTTTAGCTAGCTAGCCTGCTAGCTAACTGTTCCCAAAGACAGCACAGTGTGAAGATAGGCAGAAACTGCTTCTCCAATAGAAATCCCTGATATTGTAGGTGATGTCATGGCAACATTTGCTAGCTAAACTCACGTAGAAACCAATATAAACCCTGGATTGCTGATGCTATGTATTGGCCATTGAGAGGCTTTGAAGCCACCAGTCGGCCATATTGGCACTCCCTAGTAGGAGCAGTCCTCCATAGGAATGAATGAATGGAATTCTACAATATTTCAATTACATGTATTTTGTTGTTATAGTGGGGACAGTAACATTAGTACTCTCTAAAATATATAAATAGATGCATATTTTTATTTATTTATTTTATTTCACCTTTATTTAACCAGGTAAGCCAGTTGAGAACAAGTTCTCATTTACAACTGCGACCTGGCCAAGATAAAGCAAAGCAGTGCGATAAAAACAACACAGAGTTACATATGGGGTAAACAAAACATAAAGTCAAAAATACAACAGAAAATATATATACAGTGTGTGCAAATGTAGTAAATTATGGAGGTAAGGCAATAAATAGGCCATAGTGCAAAATAATTACAATTTCGTATTAACACTGGAATGATAGATGTGCAAAAGATGATGTGCAAATAGAGATACTGGGGTGCAAAATAAATAACAATATGGAGATGAGGTAGTTGGATGGGCTAATTACAGATGGGCTGTGTACAGGTGCAGTGATCGGTAAGGTGCTCTGACAACTGATGCTTAAAGTTAGTGAGGGAGATAAGAGTCTCCAGCTTCAGAGATTGTTGCAGTTCGTTCCAGTCATTGGCAGCAGAGAACTGGAAGGAATGGCGGCCAAAGGAGGTGTTGGCTTTGGGGATGACCAGTGAGATATACCTGCTGGAGCGCATACTACGGGTGGGTGTTGCTATGGTGACCAGTGAGCTAAGATAAGACAGGGATTTGCCTAGCAGTGGGTTTGGCGACGAATATGTAGTGAGGGCCAGCCAACAAGAGCGTACAGGTCACAATGGTGGGTAGTATATGGGGCTTTGGTGACAAAACGGATGGCACTGTGATAGACTACATCCAATTTGCTGAGTAGAGTGTTGGAGGCTATTTTGTAAATGACATCGCCGAAGTCAAGGATCGGTAGGATAGTCAGTTTTACGAGGGCATGTTTGGCAGCATGAGTGAAGGAGGCTTTGTTGCGAAATAGGAAGCCGATTCTAGATCTAACTTTTGATTGGAGATGCTTAATGTGAGTCTGGAAGGAGAGTTTACAGTCTAACCAGACACCTAGGTATTTGTAGTTGTCCACATACTCTAGGTCAGACCCGCCGAGAGTAGTGATTCTAGTCGGGTGGGTGCAAGCAGCGTTCGGTTGAAGAGCATGCATTTAGTTTTAATAGTGTTTAAAAGCAGTTGGAGGCTACGGAAGGAGTGTTGTATGGCGTTGAAGCTCGTTTGGAGGTTTGTTAACACAGTGTCCAATGAAGGGCCAGATGTATACAAAATGGTGTCGTCCGCATAGAGGTGGATCCGAGCATCACCAGCAGCAAGAGCAACATCATTGATATACACAGAGAATAGAGTCGGCCCGAGAATTGAACCCTGTGGCACCCCCATAGAGACTGCCAGAGGTCCAGACAACAGGCCCTCCGATTTGACACATTGAACTCTATCTGAGAAGTAGTTGGTGAACCAGGCGAGGCAGTCATTTGAGAAACCAAGGCTATTTAGTCTGCCAATAAGAATGCGGTGGTTGACAGTGTCGAAAGCCTTGGCCAGGTCGATGAAGACGTCTGCGCAGTACTGTCTTTTATCGATCGCGGTTATAATATCGTTAAGGACCTTGAGCGTGGCTGAGGTGCACCCATGACCAGCTCGGAAACCGGATTGCATAGCGGAGAAGGTACGGTGGTATTCGAAATGGTCGGTGATCTGTTTGTTAACTTGGCTTTCAAAAACGTTCGAAAGGCAGGGCAGGATGGATATAGGTCTGTAACAGTTTGGATCTAGAGTGTCACCCCCTTTGAAGAGGGGGATGACCGCGGCATCTTTCCAATCTCTAGGGATCTCAGACGTTACGAAAGAGAGGTTGAACAGGCTAGTAATAGGGGTTGACAATTTGGGCGGCTAATTTTAGAAAGAAAGGTTCCAGATTGTCTAGCCCAGCTGATTTGTAGGGGTCCAGATTTTTCTGCTCTTTCAGAACATCAGCTGTCTGAATTTGTATAAAGGAGAAGCGGGGGGGGGGGGGGGGGGGGGGGGGGGGGCATGGGCAAGTTGCAGCAGAGGATGCGGAGCTGGTTGCCGGGGTAGTGGTAGCCAGGTGGAAAGCATGGCCAGCAGCAGCAAAATGCTTGTTGAAATTCTCGATTATTGTAGATTTATCGGTGGTGACAGTGTTTCCTAGCCTCAGTGCAGTGGGCAGTTGGGAGGAGGTGCTCTTATTCTCCAAGGACTTTACAGTGTCCCAAAACTTTTTGGAGTTAGTGCTACAGGATGCAAATTTCTGTTTGAAAAAACTAGCCTTTGCTTTCCTAACTGATTGTGTATATTGGTTCCTGACTTCCCTGAAAAGTTGCATGAGTCTCCTGAGTGGCGCAGTGGTCTAAGGCACTGCATCGCAGTGCTAGCTGTGCCACTAGAGATCCTGGTTCGAATCCAGGCTCTGTCGCAACCGGCCGCGACCGGGAGACTCATGGGCGGCGCACAATTGGCCCAGCGTCGTCCAGGGTAGGGGAGGGAATGGCCGGCAGGGATGTAGCTCAGTTGATAGAGCATGGCGTTTGCAACGCCAGGGTTGTAGGTTCGATTCCCACGGGGGGCCAGTATAAAAATATATATATATGTATTCACTAACTGTAAGTCGCTCTGGATAAGAGCGTCTGCTAAATGACTAAAATGTAAATGTATATCGTGGGGGCTGTTCGATGCTAATGCAGTACGCCACAGGATGTTTTTGTGCTGGTCAAGGGCAGTCAAGTCTGAGGAGAACCAGGGGCTATATCTGTTCTTAGTTCTGACATTTTTGAATGGGGCATGCTTATTTAAGATTGAGAGGAAAGCACTTTTAAAGAACAACCAGGCATCCTCTACTGACGGAATGAGGTCAATATCCATCCAGGATACCCGGGCCAGGTCAATTAGAAAGGCCTGCTCGCTAAAGTGTTTTAGGGAGCGTTTGACAGTGATGAGGGGTGGTCGTTTGACTGCAGACCCATTACGGACGCAGGCAATAAGGCTGAGATTCTGGTTGAAGACAGCGGAGGTGGATTTAGAGGGTACATTTGTCAGGATGATATCTATGAGGGTGCCCATGTTTACAGATTTTGGGTTGTACCTGGTAGGTTCGATAATTTGTGTGAGATTGAGGGCATCTAGTTTAGATTGTAGGTTGGCCGGGGTGTTAAGCATATCCCAGTTTAGGTCACCAAGCAGTACAAACTCTGAGGATAGATGGGGGGCGATCAGTTCACATATGGTGTCCAGGGCACAGCTCGGGGCTGAGGGGGGTCTGTAGGAAGCGGCAACAGTGAGAGACTTATTTCTGGAAAGGTGGATTTTTAGAAGTAGAAGCTCAAACTGTTTGGGCACAGACCTGGATAGTATGATAGCCTGCAGAGCTCTATCTCTACAGTAGATTGCAACCCCACCCCCTTTGGCAGTTCTATCGAGACTGAAAATGTTGTAGTTGGGGATGGACATTTCTGAATTTTTGGTGGCCTTCCTAAGCCAGGATTCAGACACTGCTAGAACATCAGGGTTGGCGGAGTGTGCTAACGCAGTGAATAACTCAAACTTAGGGAGGAGGCTTCGGATGTTAACGTGCAAGAAACCAAGGCTTTTACGGTTACAAAAGTCAACAAATGATAACGCCTGGGGAGTAGGAGTGATACTGGGGGCTACAGGGCCTGGGTTAACCTCTACATCACCAGAGGAACAGAGGAGGAGTAGAATAAGGATACGGCTAAAGGCTTTAAGAACTGGTCTTCTAGTGCATTGGGTACAGAGAAAAAAAGGGGCAGATTTCCGGCCGTTGTAGAATAGATTCAGGGCATTATGTACAGACAAGGATATGGAAGGATATGAGTACAGTGGAGGTAAACCTAAGCGTTGGGTAACGATGAAAGAGATAGCATCACTGGAGGAACCGATTGAGTCGGTCTCCGCGTGTATGGGGGGTGGGACAAAGGAGCTGTCTAAGGCAGGTTGAGCTGGGCTGGGGGCTCTACAGTGAAATAGTACAATAAGAAATAACCGAAACAGCAATAAGCAAGACATATTGACATGGGAGAGAGGCATAAAGCAATCACAGGTGTTATTCGAGACCGCTAAGACAACAGCTGGTAATGGCGAGAAAGTTTGGGCTGAGGCTAAACATTAGCAGGATATAGTCCGTGTAGCCATTTGATTAGCTGTTCATGAGTCTTATGGCTTGGGGGTAGAAGCTGTTAAGAAGCCTTTTGGACCTAGATTTGGCGCTCCGGTACCGCTTGCCGTGCGGTAGCAAAGAGAACAGTCTATGACTAGGGTGGCTGGAGTCTTTCACAATTTTTAGGGCCTTCCTCTGACACCGCCTGGTATAGAGGTCCTGGATGGCAGGAAGCTTGGTCCCAATTATGTACTGGGCCGTACGCACTACCCTCTGTAGTGCCTTGCAGTCGGAGGCCGAGCAGTTGCCATACCAGGCAGTGATGCAACCAGTCAGGATGCTCTCGATGGTGCAGCTGTATAATTTTTTGAGGATCTGAGGACCCATGTCAAATCTTTTCAGTCTCCTGAGGGGGAATAGGCTTTGTCGTGCCCTCTTCACGACTGTCTTGGTGTGTTTGGACCATGATAATTTGTTGGTGATGTGGACACCAAGGAACTTGAAGCTCTCAACCTGCTCCACTACAGCCCCGTCGATGAGAATGGGGGCGTGCTCGGTCCTCCTTTTCCTGTAGTCCACAATCATCTCTTTTGTCTTGATCACGTTGAGGGAGAGGTTGTTATCTTGGCACCACACGGCCAGGTCTCTGACCTCCTCCCTATAGGCTGGGAAAAGGGAGAGGTTGTTATCTTGGCACCACACGGCCAGGTCTCTGACCTCCTCCCTATAGGCTGGGAAAAGGGAGAGAGTTGTTATCTTGGCACCACACGGCCAAGTCTCTGACCTCCTCCCTATAGGCTGGGAAAAGGGAGAGGTTGTTATCTTGGCACCACACGGCCAGGTCTCTGACCTCCTCCCTATAGGCTGGGAAAAGGGAGAGGTTGTTATCTTGGCACCACACGGCCAGGTCTCTGACCTCCTCCCTATAGGCTGGGAAAAGGGAGAGGTTGTTATCTTGGCACCACACGGCCAGGTCTCTGACCTCCTCCCTATAGGCTGGGAAAAGGGAGAGGTTGTTGCCTAGCTTCCACATGGGTGAGACATTCTTGATGTAGCACCTTTAATAAATGATTTTCTAAGATAAAATATTTTTGATGATGGTAAGGGTGTGCCAAGATGGAGGCACAGTGGCTTCAACACCGCCCCTATAGGTCATTAATGTAAATATAAATCATTGGTAGAAAAAATAGAGATAGATAGGACTCATCTTTATTTCTGTGCCATTATAGCGACAGCATGGGCAGCGCCATTGAGGCTACAACCCATAGGGATCCCCACCCAGTTGACTACTTTGAAAACATCAAAATTGGCGTAACATTGTGGAAGCCCTTAATGGCCTGTTGGCCACTAGAGGCCTCTATCGTTCTCTATGGTAAAAACACGTCCGCGGGTTAAACAATCGTCTCGCGCCGAACTGCGCATTGACGTCTCAAACCCCAACCCCCGGCCTGGTCGGTCTCGCAAACGTTGCCAGAAGTCTCGCGATGTTGTGCTTCTGGGTTTAGAAACTCTGTGCTGGTACTTAGCTAGCTACATTATTTGAATGTTTACGTGACTGTTTCTCTGCGTTGGTAGCAGATAATAAGCAAAAATGAGCAACGAAGCGGTCTTTGAAACAATTGAAGAGGTCAATAAGCATATCTCACACGTCGAAGAGTCAACCTGTGTGAAATATATTTCTTACCGTGTGGACAAGCGCTTCAATGACCAAGGTAAGCTAGCTAGCAAGCTATAGAGCGTCACAGACAGCCAGATATTGTACCGGATGTATAAATGTGAAGCATCCGGTTGGTGTTTCCACTCACTACCAAACATGGTGATGAGAGGAAGCCCAGTGGCCGGCAGTGGAAGAACATGGAGCGAGATTGATTTTGGTCAACGTTCTGCTAATTTTCTCATTGATTAAACATTTGATCTCCAGACAGTTTTCAAAACTATAATCTGTAACAAACAGAGTGGACTGCGTTTTGTAGACCCCTTTGCCAAAGTTTTATAAAATGACATTGTTTAGAAGGAGTGCAAGGGCGAATTGAGTTATTGCACAAGCGCACTTCACAGAGTAGTCGTTCCCTAACGGAAATATGCAAATAAATGTTAGAATGCGCCAATAGGATAGCACTAGCTCGTGCTTGGCTCCGCCCACCTCCTTGCTTGTTCTGCTCACTATGATTCATTTTCTCCTATTGGAAACAATCTTGGGTTAATTATAAAAAATCTTTGAGTGTTGCAAACTTGCATTGATCAAGCTACAGACAGTGCAAACAATCACCAGAGTGACTGGCTATATTTTAGCCCTTCTATACTATTTAGCTACCTACATTGATTGATTATTATTCTTACATAGCTAGTGATGTATATTCTGCAAACTACTGGGATGTATTCATTAGTCAGAAACAGTTTACTCCAAACATAAAATGTTTTGCAACAAAAACAAGAGTTTATTTTGGACAAATTCAGGTAGGTCCCGCCCCATTCCGTTTGCTCTGTTTGCTTCTATTTGGTACCTAGACAGTAAATGGTTTCCGTTGCAAAACGTTTTGCAGCAGAATCCGACTAACGAATACACCCCTGGACTCATGGCTCTTTCAATGTGTTCTGCAAAACAGGTTGGAAACCACAGGACCACAAGAACAGGCTATACTGGGAATGGAAGTACGGCAAGGGTACTCCCTGTATCCCCTTTGACGGCGTGCCCTTCGTGTTCATCGGACACAAGCTGATGGGATGCCACCGGGGCCGGGCAAAGTGTGGAATCAAGAAGAGGCAGGAACTTGAGGATCAAAGGGTGCTAATATCTATGATATTCTGAAACAGCTTTGAAGTGTTCCATGTAAATTATTAGGATGTATTGTGCATCTGAACCTGGAGCAAATTCATTACGACACACCATAGCAAATCTTTTCAAAACATTGTGCAATGGAAAACGGAAAATAGCTTTTCTTATTGGAGTTCAGGTTGTCCCACCCTATTTCAGGAAATGTTCTTCCATATAGTGCCTAATCAAATCAGATTTTATTGGTCGCATACACATATTTAGCAGACGTAATTGCAGGTGTAGCGAAATGCTTGTGTTCCTAGCTCCAACAGTGCAGTAATATCTAACAATTCATAACAATACGCACAAATCTAAAAGTAAAAGAATGGAATTAAGAAATATATAAATATTAGGACAAGCAATGTCGGAGTCCAGAGTGTGTGTGTATGTATGTGTGTGTGTGTGTGTGTGTATATATATATATATATATATATATATATATATACACACACTACCAGTCAAAAGTTTGGACACGCCTACTCATTCAAGGGTTTTTCTTAATTTTTACTATTTTTTACATTGTAGAATAATAGCGAAGACTTCAAAACTATTGAATAACACATATGGAATCATGTAGTAACCAAAAAATAGCCACCCTTTGCCTTGATGACAGCTTTGCACACTATTGGCATTCTCTCAACCAGCTTCATGAAGTTGTCACCTGGAATGCATTTCAATTAACAGGTGTGCCTTCTTAAAAGTTAATTTGTGGAATTTCTTTCCTTCTAAATAAGTTTGAGCCAATCAGGTGTGTTGGGACAAGGTAGGTTGGGTATACAGAAGAAAACCCTATTTGGTAAAAGACCAAGTCCATATTATGGCAAGAAAAGCTCAAATAGGCAAAGAGAAACGACAGTCCATCATTACTTTAAGACATGAAGGTCAGTCAATCTGGAAAATGTCAAGAACTTTGAACGTTTCTTCAAGTGCAGTCGCAAAAACCATCAAGCGCTATGATGAAACTGGCTCTCATAAGTACCGCCACAGGAATGGAAGACCCAGAGTTACCTCTGCTGTAGAGGATACGTTCATTAGAGTTATCAGCCTCAGAAATTGCAGCCCAAATAAATGCTTCACAGAGTTCAAGTAACAGACACGTCTCAATATCAACTGTTCAGAGGAGACTGTGAATCAGGCCTTCATGGTCGAATTGCTACAAAGAAACCACTACTAAAGGACACCAATAGGAAGAAGAGACTTGCTTGGGACAAGAAACACGATCAATGGACATTAGACCAGTGGAAATGTGTCCTTTGGTCTGGAGTCCAAATGTGAGATTTTTGGTTCTAACCGCCGTGTCTTTGTGAGACGCAGTGTGGGTGAACGGATGATCTCCGCATGTGTAGTTCCCACCGTAAAGTATGGAGGAGGAGGTGTTATGGTGTGGGGGTGCTTTGCTGGTGACACTGTCTGTGATCTATTTAGAATTCAAGGCACACTTAACCAGCATGGCTACCACAGCATTCTGCAGCAATACGCCATCCCATCTAGTTTGGGCTTAGTGGGACTATCATTTGTTTTTCAACAAGACAATGACACGACACACCTCCAGGCTTCTTCTTTTACCAAGAAGGAGAGTGATGGAGTGCTGCATCAGATGACCTGGCCTCTACAATCCCCTGACCTCAACCCAATTGAGATGGTTTGGGATGAGTCAGCTGTCATCAAGGCAAAGGTTAACTATTAGAGGAATCTCAAATATAAAATATATTTTGATTTGTTTAACACATTTTTGGTTACTACATGATTCATATGTGTTATTTCATAGTTGTAATGTCTTCACTATTATTCTACAATGTAGAAAATAGTAAAAATAAAGAAAAACCCTTGAATGAGTAGGTGTTTCCAAACGTTTGACTGGCACTGTATATACAGTGCATTCGGAAAGTATTCAGACCCCTTCCCTTTTTCTACATTTTGTTACGTTACAGCCTTATTCTAAAATGGATTAAATAAAAAAAATGTCCTCATCAGTCTACACACAATACCCCATAATGACAAAGCAAAAACAGGTTTTTAGACATTTTTGCAAATGTATTACAAATAAAAAACAGAAATACCTTATTTACATAAGTATTCAGACCCTTAGCTATGAGACTCGAAATTGAGCTCAGGTGCATCCTGTTTCCATTGCTCATCCTTGATGTTTCTACAACTTGATTGGAGTCCACCTGTGGTAAATTCAATTAATTGGACATGATTTGGAAAGACACACACGTCTATATAAGGTCCCAAAGTTGACAGTGCATGTCAGAGCAAAAACCAAGCCATCGGGTCGAAGGAATTGTCCGTAGAGTTCCGAGACAGGATTGTTTCGACGCACAGATCTGGGGAAGGGTACTAAAAAATGTCTGCAGCATTGAAGGTCCCCAAGAACACGGTGGTCTCCATTATTCTTAAATGGAAGAAGTTTGGAACCACCAAGACTCTTCGTAGAGCTAGCCACCCGGCCAAACTGAGCAATCGGGAGAGAAGGGCCTTGGTCAGGGAGGTGACCAAGAACCCGATGGTCACTCTGACAGAGCTCCAGAGTTCCTCTGCGGAGATGGGAGAACCTTCCAGAAGGACAACCATCTCTACAGCACTCCACCAATCAGGCCTTTATGGTAGAGTGGCCAGACGGAAGCCACTCCTCAGTAAAAGGCACATGACAGCCCGCTTGGAGTTTGCCAAAAAAGCACCTAAAGGACTCTCAGACCATGAGAAACAAGATTATCTGGTCTGATGACACCAATATTGAACTCTTTGTCCTGAATGCCAACCGTCACGTCTAGAGGAAACCTGGCACCATCCCTACGGTGAAGCATGGTGGTGGCAGCACCATGTTGTGGGGATGTTTTTCATCGGCAGGGACTGGGAGACTAGTCAGGATTGAGGGAAAGATGAATGGAGCAAAGTACAGAGAGATCCTTGATAAAAACCTGCTCCAGAGCGCTCAGGACCTCAGACTGGGGTGAAGGTTCACCTTCCAACAGGACAACGACCCTAAGCACACAGCCAAGACAACGCAGGAGTGGCTTCGGGACAAGTCTCTGAATGTCCTTGAGTTGCCCAGCCAGAGCCCAGACTTGAACCCGATCAAACATCACTGGAGAGACCTGAAAATACCTGTGCAGCAATGCTCACCATCCAACCTGACAGAGCTTGAGGATCTGCAGAGAAGAATGGGTGAAACTCCCCAAATACAGGTGTGCCAAGCTTGTAGCGTCATACCCAAGAAGACTTGAGGCTGTAATCGCTGCCAGAGGTGCTTTTTGCACTTTTGGCATATTTATGCAGTTTGGCCGGGCGGCCAGGTCTAGGAAGAGTCTTGGTGGTTCCAAACCTCTTTCATTTAAAAATTATGGAGGCCACAGTGTTCTTGGGGACCGTCAATGCTGCAGACCATTTTTGGTACCCTTCCCCAGATCTGTGCGTTGACACAATCCTGTCTCAGACCTCTACGGACAATTCCTTCGACCTCATGGCTTTCACTCTGACATGCACTGTCAACTGTGGGACCTAATATAGACAGGTGTGTGCCTTTCCAAATCATGTCCAATCAATTGAATTTACCACAGGTGGACTCCAAAAAAGTTGTAGAAACATCTCAAGGATGATAAATGGAAACAGGATGCACCTGAGCTCAATTTCTAGTCACATAGCGAAGGGTCTGAATACTTATGTAAATAAAGTATTTCTGTTTTTTATTTTTAATACATTTGCTAAAATTTCTAAACCTATTTTCGCTTTATCATTATTTTGTATTGTGTGGATTGATGAGGAATAAGGCTGTAACATACACAAAATCAGAAGGGGATCAAATACTTTTTTCCCTCACTGTATGTGTGTGTATATATATATATGTGTGTATGTGATGTATGGACATTATGGACAGTATGTGGATAGAATATTTAGTATATCTGTAGAATACGTAGGATAGAATAGTGTGTATATATACAGCAAAAGTTGAATAGGATGGCATTGACTAGAACACAGTAAAATACAGTATATACAGCACCAGTCAGAAGTTTGGACACACCTACTCATTCAAATTTTTTCTTCTTTATTTTTACTATTTTCTACATTGTAGAATAATAGTGAAGACATCAAAACTATGAATTAACACAAATGGAATCATGTATTAATTAAAAAAGTGTTAAACATTATATTTGAGGTTCTTCAAAGTAGCCACCCTTTGACTTGATGAACAGCTTTGCACACTCTTGGCATTCTCTCAACCAACTTCACTTGGAATGCTTTTCCAACAGCCTTGAAGGAGTTCCCACATATGCTGAGCACTTGTTGGCTGCTTTTCCTTCACTCTGCGGTCCGACTCATCCCAAACCATCTCAATTTGGTTGAGGTCGGGGGATTGTGGAGGCCAGGTCATCTGATGCAGCACTCCATCACTCTCCTTCTTGGTAAAATAGCCCTTACACAGCCTGGAGGTGTGTTAGGTCATTGTCCTGTTGAAAAACAAATAATAGTCCCACTAAGCCCAAACCAGATGGGATGGCGTATCGCTGCAGAATGCTGTGGTAGCCATGCTGGTTAAGTGTGACTTGAATTCTAAATAAATCACAGACAGTGTCACCAGCAAAGCACCCCCACACCATAACACCTCCTCCTCCATGCTTTACGGTGGGAACAACACATGCGGATATCTTCCGTTCACCCACACTGCGTCTCACAAAGACACGGCGGTTAGAACCAAAAATCTCTAATTTGGACTCCAGACCAAAGGACACAATTCCACCGGTCTAATATCAAGTTATTGTGTTTCTTGGCCCAAGGAAGTCTCTTCTTCTTATTGGTGTCCTTTAGTAGTGGTTTCTTTGCCTGATTCACACAGTCCCCTCTGAACAGTTAATGTTGAGATGAGTCTGTGACTTGAACTCTGTGAAGCATTTATTTGGGCTGCAATTTCTGAGGCTGGTAACTAATGAACTTATCCTCTGCAGCAGAGGTAACTCCGGGTCTTCCGTTCCTGTAGCGGTCGTCATGAGAGCCAGTTTCATCATAGTGCTTGATGGTTTTTGCGACTGCACTTGAAGAAACTTTCAAAGTTCTTGAAATGTTCTGTACTGACTGACCTTCATGTCTTAAAGTAATGATGGACTGTTGTTTCTCTTTGCTTATTTGAGCTGTTCTTGCCATAATATGGACTTGGTCTTTTACCAAATAGTGCTATCTTCTGTATACCCCCCCTACCTTGTCACAACACAACTGATTGGCTCAAATGCATTAAGAAGGAAAGAAATTCCACAAATTAACAGGCACACCTGTTAATTGAAATGCATTCCAGGTGACTACCTCATGGAGCTGGTTGAGAGAATACCAAGCGTGTGCAAAGCTGTCATCAAGGCAAAGGGTGGCTATTTGAAGAATCTCAAATATAAAATATATTTTAATTTGTTTAACACTTTTTTGGTCAGTACATGATTCCATATGTGTTATTTCATAGTTTTGATGTCTTCACTATTATTCCACAATGTAAAAAATAGTAAAAATTAAGAAAAACCCTTGAATGAGTAGGTGTGTCCAAACTTTTGACTGGTAGTGCACAGTCGTGGTCAAAAGTTTTGAGAATGACACAAGTATTGGTCTTCACAAAGTTCGCTGCTTCAGTGTTATGATATATTTTTGTCAGATGTTACTATGGTATACTGAAGTATAATTACAAGCATTCCATAAGTGTCAAAGGCTTTTATTGACAATTACATTAAGTTTATGCAAAGAGTCAATATTTGCAGTGTTGACCCTTCTTTTTCAAGACCTCTGCAATCCGCCCTGGCATGCTGTCAATTAACTTCTGGGCCACATCCTGACTGATGGCAGCCCATTCTTGCATAATCAATGCTTGGAGTTTGTCAGAATTTGTGGGTTTTTGTTTGTCCACCCGCCTCTTGAGGATCGACCACAAGTTCTCAATGGGATTAAGGTATGGGGAGTTTCCTGGCCATGGACCCAAAATGTCGATGTTTTGTTCCCCGAGCGGCTTCTTTGCTGCCCTTCTAGACACCAGGCCATCCTCCAAAAATATTTGCCTCACTGTGCGTGCAGATGCACTCACACCTGCCTGCTGCCATTCATTAGCAAGCTCTGCACTGGTGGTGCCCCGATCCCGCAGCTGAATCAACTTTAGGAGACGGTCCTGGCACTTGCTGGACTTTCATGGGCGCCCTGACGCCTTCTTCACAACAATTGAACCTCTCTCCTTGAAGTTCTTGATGATCCGATAAATGGTTGATTTAGGTGCAATATCCTTGCCTGTGAAACCCTTTTTGTGCAAAGCAATGATGACGGCACGCGTTTCTTTGCAGGTAACCATGGTTAACAGAGGAAGAACAATGATTTCAAGGCACCACCCTCCTTTTAAAGCTTCCAGTCTGTTATTCTAACTCAATCAGCATGACAGAGTGATCTCCAGCTTTGTCCTCGTCAACACTCTCACCTGTGTTAACGAGAGAATCACTGACATGATGGCAGCTGGTCCTTTTGTGGCAGGGCTGAAATGCAGTGGAAACGTTTTTTTGGGGATTAAGTTCATTTTCTTGGCAAAGAGGGACTTTGCAATTAATTGCAATTCATCTGATCACTCTTCATGACATTCTGGAGTATATGCAAATTGCCATCATCAAAACAGCAGACTTTGTGTAAATTAGTATTTGTGTCATTCTCAAAACTTTTGACCACAAATAAGTAAAAACTGTATGTAAACATTATTAGTGACCAGTGATTCCATGTCTATGTGTATAGGGCAGCAGCCTCTAAGGTGCAGGGTTGAGTAACCGGGTGGTAGCCGGCTAGTGACATTGACTAAGTTCAGGGCAGGGTGCTGGGTGGAGGCCGGCTAGTGATGGCTATTTAACAGTCTGATGGCCTTGAAATTGAAGCTGGGATTCAGTCTCTCGGTCCCAGCTTTGATGCACCTGTACTGACCTCGCCTTCTGGATGATCGTGGGGTGAACAGTCCGTGGCTCGGGTGGTTGATGTCGGGTGGTTGATGTCCTTGATGATAATGAATACGACCCTGGTTTCATCAATGCTTCTAGGTAGTTGTGGGGTTCACAACCAATCTCAACAATTATATTCTTACCTGCCACTCATTTTGGTCTTTCAGGCAAAAGATGGCAAGGAAAAAAGAAACCTGTTGCTGAAAACCAAGAAGGTAGCATGTCCTGCTGTGTTCACAATCAGCCGCATTGTCAAGTTCCCTGGATTCAAGGTACCGGTGAAATAATGTGTGTATATGTTTATTATGTTACACCAGTGATCACGCACCTCAGACTAGTACACTTAATTCTATCTCTGTGTGTGTGTGTGTGTGTGTGTGTGTGTGTGTGTGTGTGTGCGCACTCGTGCCACACTGCATCAGTTGGAGAAGGACACATCACGGTTGAGGAGGGTCATGTCTATTTCCATCAAACAAGCTCTCCAGACAGACCCAGCCTCGGTGCCGTGGAAGATACAGTATTTCCTCAAAATACCCAGTGTCACTGACCACAAGGGCCATCCAATTGGCAAGGTATTACTATACTATTACCATGGGATCTATTGCATTGGACTCTCTTTAGGCTACATATCAAGTATCTGTAAGCCTTTATGTCCGTTCGGTACACAGATGTAATAAAACCTTAATCTCTTAAAATTCCCTGAAGAATACAAGTATCTAACCCTGTAACAGTGGTTAGGGTTATTTTCTCCCTACTTAACAAACGCCACTCTCTCCTCGCTCCCTCAGGGTGCAGATCAGGTGGACGACAGGGTCAAAGGTTACATCCGAGCGTTGGTGCAGCAGGGGGTGAGGAAGGTGAAGGAGGTAAAGAACCAGATGGTCCAGTACGTGCGGACGGAGCTGTTCCGAGACACGACCCCGCCGCCGCTGAGGCGCTTCTTCCCCACAGAGAAAACCATCCATGCCGTCATGGCTCAGGTCATCGCGGAGGAACACTACAGCAAAATAGACCTGGTCAACCTGCTGGTGAGAAGGCTGCGCTGTGCTCCATCTACAGTCGTGGTCAAAAGTTTTGAGAATGACACAAGTATTGGTCTTCACAAAGTTTGGAGTATATGCAAATTGCCATCATAAAAATTGAGGCAGCAGACTTTGTGAAAATTAATATTTGTGTCATTCTCAAAACTTTTGACCACGACTGTATCCCACATGTTCAGCAGATATTTGGATTGTCTTCTTAGATAAGACCTTTGGGGCTTGTGGTGTTAGCTGTATGTTTCAATGCAATTTACGAATATTTGGGATTGTTTAAGGCCATGGAAATATCACTGGTGTAGTTTAGAATAAGACAGTGACATGCTATAGCAAAAGTCAAGGTTCACTTCCATATATAAAGCTCACGTTGGAGCAAAAAGGAGTTTGGTTAGCACTTAAATAGTTGAAAGGATGCAGAAGTTGCACCTCAGCTATTAACCATGTACAGCTATTATGATTACCAGCTCTGTGACCCTAACATGACCCCAACTTTGGTTTTACTCTGTCTCCCCCCTTAGACCCTGGCAGAGAATTGGAAGGCGGAAGCTCCTAGAATCAACTTCCTACTTAGGGTCCAATCAGAGAGCGAGAACCTGTTGCTGTGCTACCAGACAGACTGGCAGCGGCGGCTGCTCCGGCAGTATGGCAAGGAGGTGTGCTTCCTGGACGCGGCCTACAAGAGGACGCGCTTCCCCCTGCCACTCTTCTTCCTGTGCGTGCGCACCAATGTGAGCGTGGCGCCCGTGGGCCTGTTCGTGGTGCAGTCGAGGAGCGCCGAAGCCTTGGGGGAGGCGCTGGGGGTGTTCAGGCAGTGGAACCGGGGCTGGAGCCCAGCCTACATCCTCACTGAACACTGCCCTGTGGAGATGAAGGCGGTGGAGGCCGCATTCACAGGTGAACAGTGGTGAGGTTTTAATGTTAGCTATGAGGTGGGAAAAGCAAGTTAGCTCCATAATGTGCTCTCAACACGGTTGGCTTTGAAAAGACTTGTTGGTCAAGAAAAGGTTTAAACTGTTAGTCTTTTAAGTACTAGAGGATGATGGGGTTAGAGTTAGCTAATTATGGACTATTTCACATTCCAATCTCAGGTGCTCAGGCAGTCTTCAGCGATCACCTGCGGGAGAGGACCTGGACCAAGTGGCTGAGCAACCGGTCCCGAGCCATCACCAACCAGGAGGGGATCTTTGATATGATGAAGGCCATCGCTGGAGCCCTTACCAGAGAGCAACACCAGGGGGCAGTAGAACGACTACAGCAGAGCCCCATCTGGCTGGAGAAGAGACAACTCTTTAAGAACTGGTTCACTAACAAGTGGCTGTCAGAGGAGAAGGTTTGTAGTGCACATGTCAATTAATGACATCACAGGGGCAATAGGGTCAGGTCCTGGACCTGCTCTGTCTTCACCTGCGTATTAATGAAGGTCAGAGTGGTTAGACGGAAAGCAGATCTCAGACCTGTGCTTAGAGGTGCTTTCATCCTGAAGCAGACAGCATGTTTAAACCATATATACTGTATGTAGACAGTAGTCTGTAGCAGTAACAAGTGTGTTATGTTTTTGCTAGCTATTTAGTCATTTAGCGGACGCTCTTATCCAGAGCGACTTACAGTTAGTGAGTGCATACATTTTTTCATACAGCTATATCCATGATACGGTATCTAGCTATAGATCCATAATATGCTAGCTATAGGTCCATAATGTGCATCCTAGTCTAATGATGGTGCATACAGAGGTTAGTGACATGCTGCTGTTTTTGTTCATTCAGAGATGGGCGAACGCTGTGAGGGTTGATATTGTCAACTTTGTGTCTGTGGTGAACGGAGGTCTGGAGATGCAGAGCGACTTTTTCACACATAACAACATGAAGGTCCATAAAAAAGACACCCTGAGCCAAATGCTGCAGTTTGTTGTTGATGACTACTTCCCACCGATGCACCAAAGGTAAGTCCGTTTTAGAATAGGATTCACTGTCATTTAGAATGGTATTCGCTGTCAAAAGTGGTCTTCTGTTGAGATATCTGCAAAATGAATGGAAGATAGGCACCATATAATTTCCAGATTTGCGGTGCTCATCTTTTCCATTCATTTGGGGTTAAGATGTGTTGCTTGTTCTGCACAACCAATGGCATAGGATCTTGACATTAGACTACTTTTTAAAACTTTTATTTAGGAGTGTAATGCCCCTTTAATGTAAGTGTTATGATGTTTGGTCAATCTAAAAACCTGCTACACTCCCTGAACCTGCAGGTACATAGACCTCAACAGCCAGTCCTCCGGCGAGTACAGCCTCAACCCCACTGCGCCTCCGTTCCTGTGGCATCGCCCTTGGGGTGTGGTGGCCCTGGTGATGGACAACATGTCTGCCGCCCTGCAAGACTCCGACATTGTGGTGGAGCAGGCCAGTGACGCCGCCAACGGCACCTTTCGGGTGAAGAGTGGGGCAGAGAGCACGGCGGGGCAGTCAGGGCGGTCCTACACGGTCAGCTTCGGTTCAGAGGCCACCTGGCCCTCCTGTGAGTGTGAGGTGTGGAGGGACCAGCGCCTGCCCTGTGAACACTTCTGTCACGTCTTCAGGTCTGAGCCTAACTGGACCTGGGAGCACCTCTGTCCCAAATACAGGGACCACCCTCTGCTCACTCTGCATTCACACACCACAACGGAGGAGGAGATAGAGGAAGCCCTCAATGGTCTAATGCATCTCTCCCCAGCTTCCCCAGTCTCTCTTCAGTGGGATGGGCCTGAAGAAACAGTGCCACTGGTGCAAACTCCTCAAACTCCACAGTTACAACTGCATAGCATACAAACACAGTGGGTGGCCCCACAGGCTTCACAGGGTCCGCGGGAGAGGGAGGAACTGCAGAGGGAGGAACTGCAGAGGGAGTGTGTGGCCAAACTCAAATCCATCATGGAGAATGTGAGCGGGATCAACAACATTGACCACCTACAGGAGCTCAGGCAGAAACTGGACGTTCTCCAGGCTCAGAGTGAGACCATGTTGGATCAGAAGGACGCTGGCGTCAAAACAGTGCCCACCCCCAAGGGCAAGAGAAAGAGGGCAGGGGTGGAGATTATCGTGGCCATGCCAAAACGCATCAAAGTGCTCTCCCAGATTGATGTAGAAAATGTTCAGAAATAGCTTTTTTCCAAAGAGGGAAAATAATCTATCAGGTTGTCGCTCTTATTTCTTGGGAGAAGTACGAAGAACTCTTTGTTAGGATGTCGTCACGTTGTATCCAGTTCTGGGAAGCATTTGGCTGGGTTAGCTTGATGTACGGCGCTGCGCAGGTTCACAAACCTTTCCATAAATTAATAAATCCAGACAGTCCAGACTATTTAGAAATTAGCCAAGTATCTCAACTCCACGCTGATTTCATCTGCGGAGTTGAGTGGAGACTAGAGTTTTTGGAGTGAATCTCCCAACTCCTTCGAGTTGCTGTACAATCAATACTTCAAAATTGTACATTCTTAAACCCTTACCATGTACCTAATTTTGTCCTCTGTTGCTTTCTTTATTTGCTGAAATCCATACCCTTTTAATAAAAAGTTAATCAAATACAACCACCGACTGTTTCCTCGTTTAAATTCAATTGGCACATTTGCGCTGAGTTGCCATGTTAGAGCAACAGCCAGTGGCATCATGTCCATAGGGCGCACAAAAACATGTGACCCCTCAGATTTTTCCTTTATTTTTTATTTTTTGGGGGATATTAAATTAAAAAACGGAACTTCAGTTTTAAGCCCACGTTTTATCATAATTATTTATAAAAAGATCTGTCAGTGTTATTTTGCATCGGGAGCAGACTGAATGGACCAGGCAAAGAGTACCCCCCTCCCCCATTCTACCTAGTAAGTGGTTGCTTCCAAGGTGCACAAAGCTAAGAGATGCCTAGGCAGGACACAAGATACTCTAGCGTGTGCAGTATCATCAGTAGAGGAGGAAAGAGAGTATAGAGCAGTGGAGGACGACCCCCTCTCAGAAGTTCAAGGCTGACCGCGGTACTGCAAGCATTGTTAGCAGAAAATAGGATCCCCCATTATACTTCGTGGTGAGTCATTGTGTAAATAAAAAAAATTGAAGACATTCATGGTACCAATAATTGCTTCTAATACACCAGATGTACCCTGGTCGGCCTTCAACTTGAGTCACTCAATGTGAAGGGGCAGCACTGAGCTAGCCTGCAACGTCACATCCTGGAGTAGTTCAAACTGTGCATGTTATCAAATACAGTACAGTATGAAGATAAGCAGAAACTGCTTCTCCAATACAAATCCCCGATAACGCTTGTAGACGATGTCATGGCAACGTTGGCTAACTAAGCTCATGCGCAGAAACAGTCATCGGGTCTAACGGTCGTGCAGGCCGTGAAATCAAAGGCACTCCTTCCATATAAAGTGTTTTTGGACGAAAATGTTAATGTATGCCGTTTGTCATTTTCACGAGGTTGCAGTAATAACTTGTTCAACTACTTAAGATATTGGCTCGAATCTAGGTTGAGCCTTTACATTTCGAGAAAATTAACAACTAATGAATAATTTTTCACTTCACTCATTTACTTATCAAACCCTGGCCTGGTCTGCTTGGTCTGTTTTGCAAGTCTGGGGATGTTGCGCCACTGGGTTTAGAAACTCTGTAATGTTATGTCTCCATGAGACACCATTTTAACCGACTTAATTTGGCTTCAATGTGCTATTGAGTCTTCACATAGGAATGAATGGTGTCACGTGATCGATGGCTTTGTCCATTCATATATACAGTCATTGGTGTAGAGCAGGGGTCCAGAATTACAGTACCAGTCAAAAGTTTGGACACACCTACTCATTCAAGGGTTTTTCTTTATTTTTACTATTTTCTACATTGTAGAATAATAGTGACGACATCGAAACTATGAAATAACACATATGGAATCATGTTGTAACCAAAAAAGTGTTAAACAAATCAAAATATATTTGATATTTGATATTCTTCAAATAGCCACCCTTTGCCTTGATGACAGCTTTGCACACTCTTGGCATTCTCTCACCAGTTTCACCTGGAATGCTTTTCCAAAAGTCTTGAAGGAGTTCCCACATATGCTGAGCACTTGTTGGCTGCTTTTCCTTCACTCTGCGGTCGAGCTCATCCCAAACATTCTCAACTGGGTTGAGGTCGGGTGATTGTGGAGGCCAGGTCATCTGATGCAGCACCCCATCACTCTCCTTATTGGTCAAATAGCCTTTACACAGCCTGGAGGTGTGTTTCGGGTCAAAACAAATGATAGTCCCACTAAGCGCAAACCAGATGGGAGGGTGTATCGCTGCAGAATGCTGTGGTAGCCATGCTGGTTAAGTGTGCCTTGAATTCTAAATAAATCACTGACAGTGTCACCAGCAAAGCACCTTCACACCTCCTCTTCCATGCTTCACAGTGGGAACCACACAAATCAAATCAAATGTATTGGTCACATACACATGGTTAGCAGATGTTACTGCGAGTGTAGCGAAATGCTTGTGCTTCTAGTTCCGACAGTGCAGCAATATCGATCAAGTAATATCTAACAGTTCCACAACAAATACCTAATACACACAAATCTAAGTAAAGGAAATATATGGATGAGCAATGTCATTATCTGAGTGGCATAGGCTAAGATGCAACAGATAGTATAGAATACAGTATATACATATGAGATGGGTAATGCAAGATATGTAAACATTATTAAAGTGGCATTATTAAAGTGACTAGTGTTCCATTTATTAAAGTGGCCAGTGATTTTCAAGTCTGTATGTAGGCAGCAGCCTCTCTGTGCTAGTGATGGCTGTTTAACAGTCTGATGGCCTTGAGATAGAAGCTGTTTTTCAGTCTCTCGGTCCCAGGTTTGATGCACCTGTACTGACCTCGCCTTCTGGATGATAGCGGGGTGAACAGGCTGGCTCGGGTGGTAGTTGTCCTTGATTATCTTTTTGGCCTTCCTGTGACATCGGGTGCTGTATGTGTCTTGGAGGGCGGGTAGTTTGCCCCCGGTGATGCGTTGTGCAGACCACACCACCCTCTGGAGAGCCCTGCGGTTGTGGGCGGTGCAGTTGCCGTACCAGGCGGTGATACAGCCTGACAGGATGCTCTCAATTGTGCATCTGTAAAGGTTTGTGAGGGTTTTTCACCACACTGTCTGTGTGGGTGGTCCATTTCAGTTTGTCAGTGATATGTACACCGAGGAACTTAAAACTTTTCACCTTCTCCACTTCTGTCCCGTCGATGTGGCTAGGGGGGTACTCCCTCTGCTGTTTCCTGAAGTCCACGATCATCTCCTTTGTTTTGTTGCCATTGAGTGAGAGGTTATTTTCCTGACACCACACTCTGAGAGCCCTCACCTCCTCCCTGTAGGCTGTCTCATCGTTGTTGGTAATCAAGGCTACTACTGTTGTGTCATCTGCAAACTTGATGATTGAGTTGGAGGCGTGCATGGCTACGCAGTCATGGGTGAACAGGGAGTACAGGAGGGGGCTGAGCACACACCCTTGTGGGGCCCCAGTGTTGAGGATCAGCTAAGTGGAGAAGTTGTTTCCTACCTTCACCATCTGGGGGCGGCCCGTCAGGAAGTCCAGGACCCAATTGCACAGGGCGTGGTTAAGACCCAGGGCCTCAAGCTTAATGATGAGCTTGGAGGGTACTATGGTGTTGAATGCTGAGCTATAGTCAATGAACAGCGTTCTTACATAGGTATTCCTTTTGTCCAGATGGGATAGGGCAGTGTGCTGTGTGATGGCGATTGCATCGTCTGTGGACTTATTGGGGCGGTAAGCAAATTGAAGTGGGTCTAGGGTGACAGGTAAGGTGGAGGTGATATGATCCTTGACTAGTCTCTCAAAGCACTTCATGATGACAGAAGTGAGTGCTACGGGGCGATCGTCATTTAGTTCAGTTACCTTTGCATTCTTGGGTACAGGAACAATGGTGGCCATCTTGAAGCATGTGGGGACAGCAGACTGGGATAGGGAGAGATTGAATATGTCCGTAAACACACCAGCCAGCTGGTCTGCGCATGCTCTGAGGATGCGGCTAGTAATGCCGTCTGGGCCGGCAGCCCTGCGAGGGTTAACACGTTTAAATGTCCTTGGTAGCTGGCCGCGTCGGTGGCACTGTTTTATCCTCAAAGTGGGCAAGGAACTTGTTTAGCTTGTCTGGCAGCAAGACATCGGTGTCCGCAACGTGGCTGGTTTTCCTATTGTAGTCCGTGATTGTCTGTAAACCCTGCCACAGTCTCGTGTCTGAGCCGTTGAATTGCGATATTGACATTTTGCCTGTTTGATTGCCTTGCGGAGGGAACGACCACTCTGTTTGTATTCTGCCATAATCCCCGTCACTTTACCATGGTTAACTGCAGTGGTTCGTGCTTTCAGTTTTTCGTGAATGCTGCCATCTATCCACGGTTTCTGGTTAGGGTAGGTTTTAATAGTCACAGTGGGTACGACATCTCCTATACACTTCCTTATAAACCCACTCACTGAATCAGCGTATACGTCTATATTATTCTCAGAGGCTACCCGGAACAAATCCCAGTCCATGTGATCAAAAGAATCTTGAAGTGTGGATTCCAATTGGTCAGACCAGCGTTGAATAGTCCTTAGCACGGGTCCTTCCTGTTTGAGTTTCTGCCTATAGGAAGGGAGGAGCAAAATGGAGTCGTGGTCAGATTTTCCGAAAGGAAAGGGCCTTGTATGCATCGCGGAAGTTAGTGTAACAATGGTCCATTGTTTTTCCAGTGCGAGTGCTACAGTCAATATGCTGATAGAATTTTTCTCAAATTTGCTTTGTTAAAATCCCCAGCTACAATAAATGCAGCCTCAGGATATATGGTTTCCAGTTGGCATAAACTCCAGTGAAGTTTTTTGAGGGCCATCGTGGTATCGGCTTGAGGGGGGCTATATACGGCTGTAACAATAACCTAAGAGAATTCTCTTGGGAGATAATACGGTCGGCATTTGATTGTGAGGAATTCTAGGTCAGGTGAACAAAATGACTTGAGTTCCTGTATGTTGTTACAATTACACCATTAGTTGTTTATCATGAAACATACCTCCCACCCTTCTTCTTCCTGGAGAGATGTTTATTCCTGTCGGCGCGATGTACTGAGAACCCAGATGGCTGTATGGATGGGGACAGTATATCCCGAGAGAGACATATTTCTGTGAAACAGAGTATGTTACAATCCCTGATGTCTCTGGAAAGCAACCCTTGCCCTGATCTCGTCAACTTTGTTATCTAGGGACTGGACATTAGCAAGTAATATACTCGGAAGCGATGGGTGGTGTGCGCGCCTCTTAAGTCTGACTAGAAGACCACTCCGGCTCCCTCTCCTCTGGCGCCGTTGTTTTGGGTCGGCCTCTGGAATCAGTTAAATTGCCCTGGGGGGTGCGAACAAAGGATCCGCTTCGGGAAAGTCGTATTCCTGGTCGTAATGCTGGTAGTGCTGGTGAGCTACCGCCGCTCTGATATCCAATAGTTCTTCCC